CGCGGCATCGGGGGCGTACTGAAGGGCCAGACTCAAACACGGGCCCATTTCGTTGAACTTTGCTTGAAAAGGGGGCTATTCTTTCATTAGTCTTCCTGAGTTTTGCTTTTGAGGTTGTGAATCATTCTTGAATACACAATTTCACCTGAAAAAAAAAAACACACCAAGAACCTTCTCAATGTGGCGTGGTATGCCATCGGAAGGATGTAACTGGCTCTCGAGGTTTGCATCCACGCGCGGGGGTTCAGGCACCTCCTCCTCATCCACGTCAAACTTGCTTGAAGTTGAGGTTTGAGAGTGGAGCGACTCAATCAGGCCAGTGGTGAGGTCATCGGACAAAGTGCCAGCGTAAAGCACAAAGAGTCGCGCTGCGGGGCGCTTAACGGCAGCCTTGAGTGACGCGAGAGTCTTGTCCAGCAGCCGACGTTGACGTTGAGCGTTGTGCCAGCTCGAAAAGCCAAGCAACTGTTGAATTCCGTCAACAGCGATGGCAAGCCACGGCAGTTGATCATGACTCGTGGGCTGCTGACTGTCGTTACGAGCCGAGTACTCAAACTCTTGGATGAACTGGAGCGTAGCAGCGACCTGGAAGCTGCCAGTTTGTTCAAAGTTGTCCTGAAAAAACCTCGGGGGAATTTCAAAGTAGGCAGCCAGCAGGCGAGTCGACAGAGCATGCTCCGGATTGGCTTGCTTGAGAACTGTCCAGTCGTTCGCAGAGTCGAAACCGGAAGGACCGTCGAAAGAGACGGATAAGCACAACAGATTGTTTCTTCCGTAACGATCTCTGTTACGATGAGCTGCCGGGGCAATTTGATGCACAAACGCGTCACACAGACACGAGTTCCCTGTACCGGGGATTGTGGCAGCAAGAAACGACCGATGCTCAAGTGGATCGGTGTCGTTTGCGAGCGTCTTTTTCATCCGTTTCAGCAGCAGCGCCTCGATGGAGGAGGAGGTTCTCTCCAGTCGTGTGTAGCTGTCCTGCAGAGCAACACCATTAGACAAACTTCACAATTCGGTCATTAAGCTCGACTAGAAACGTACTTGCTTTCGCTCCAATGTGATCAGGCCACGGAGCGAATCGCGGATCAAGGCTGGCGTGCTTTTCAGCTCTCCTGTTGTTCCAGCATGCGTTCATGAGCGCGCACACATTGAGTCGAAACAGCTCGCACCAATCTCGTCAAACGGCGCTTACGGAATGGCGCTTGAAGAAGCGGGTGTTTCAATTCACGGTACTGCTGTTGTTCCTCAGCTGTGAGGTGAGCATGGACCTGTGGACAAAGCATGCAATTGTCAGTCAACCGAGAGACTGGGCGCATCTGGAGGCTGATAGGTGGGGAATGCCTAATCCTTCCACCGTCAGCTCGACTGATCATCTGTTCGAGTTCCTCTGTGAGCTCTTTGAGCACTCCACCTGCATGCATTTTTGGAGTGTTATTCTGGCGACATTCAACTGTCTCAGATCCTAAGTTCTTTTTGCTTTGTTATTCTTCCTAAAGCTTTCAACCGTGAAAAACAATCTGTTCGAGTTCCGCTGTGAGCTTGTGAGCACTCTACTCGCAGGCCGATGTCGGATCAGAAACCACTGTAGCATGCCGGAACATTGACGTCAGCGGAGCAGCATCGTTCGGATCGAGCATCCAGAGCGGCGGGACTTGCACATTCGCTGCAGCGGCGCCAACCGTCCTGCGAGATTTGTGCTTTGTGAGCGGTACAGCCGGCTTGAGCTCGTCCTTGGCCGGCAGCGTCGCAGCGTTCCGAAATCCTGTCTGCCACGCGTCGCGACACGACTTGGTCAGGTTGTTCGAAGTCACAACACACAAAACAATGTCGAATTTGCTGCCAAAGGTCGAATTGCGAATGGCCGAATACGCTTTGAAGAGTTTGGCGGTCCTGTCGGCTGCGTCACCCTTCTTGGGCAAGTCTTCGTCCGTTGCTTGCAGAAGAATCAGCAACGGTCGCTCGTCATCGTTAATGCTCTTTAAGACGAGACGTGCATCAAATTCTGACGTGCTTGCAGCGTGCAAAAAGACCACTCCAGGAGCGCCTGCTTGAACTCGAACCTTCGTGCCCATCCAGATGTCGACAGCATCCACGGCTTCGGCAGCATCGAAAGTCGGTTTCGAGGCGGTCGAGGTTGCGAACTGGCTCGTGTCTTGCACTGCATTCAGTACGGGCGTCGCAGTCCTTCGGAAGGTCCGAGGGGCCTCGGGACTCTGCGTGCTGTCGCTGCCGAAGGGAAGCGGGACATCGGGAGAAATGCCGAACAAGTTGTGAATTGTGAACGGCCGGACTTGTTGACCGAAGCGAATGGCGAGAGTGGCCACGAGGCCAAGCTCAAAGCCCCGACCGCTGTTCGGTTGGTAAGGAAATGTGAAAAGATCCAAAATGGGTGCACGTTCGGCAACAGGGATCTTGGCAAGGATGGGTCGCAGCAGGACAATCGGTACACGAAGTCCAACATGATCAGCGACCTTTCGAACCAGAGTAGCGCCTCCCGTCTCGGCCAAATCTTGCACTGTTTCACCGGTTGTCGGATTCATCACATAGTCGGGTGGCACATAGGTGTGGGTCATTGTCAGCCACAGCATCCGTAGCGCAACGCTCGACGACAAATCGCGATTGTGTTTGATAACACTCTCCGTTTGCAGAAAGCTGAGCGCGACCTCGAAAAGCACCTTGTTTTTGGCAGCTGGGGCACCAGGAGGGCGGGAAAGTTGCTTGGGACGACTGGCAACAAGCGCGGCGAGAAGTTGCGGGGAGCCGCCCAAATCCGCGACCAGATGTTGAAAGGCAGTGTCTTGGAACCAGTCAGAATGCCAGGGTGTCGTCGATCGGGCCGATTGTTGAACAAAGGCTAGGCTGTCTTCCTGGCTCAAGGGTTCGAGGTCGAGCGGCATAATTCCATTTTGGTTCGGCTGGAATCTCACTCCGGCGTCGCCAGTCCCGGTGAAAAGGAGGACGACCAGGTTCGGCTGGGAGGGGCCAAAGAAGTTGTAGTTCAAGAGCGAGGCGACTTCCGTTTTGAAGCGGGCACTGGCCTTTAACTTGAAGTCCGCGATGGCTGCCGGGCTGGTCACAAACGACTCGACTTGCTCCTTGGTCCGGGTTGAATTCTTGATGAAATCTTCCCGCGCATTTCGCTGCAACTCTAAGACGAGAGCCTCGCGAGCAAGTTGTGCTTCATCCACGTGAATGAACAAAAGCGCGACCTCATCGTCTCGGATGTGATTCTTTGCTCGATGCGCCGCGAAGATTCTGTTCAGCACAGCGTCGCCGTTGAAGTTGGGCTCTGCTGCGCAAAAAGCAGCGTTGGAACGCGCTACATCGATGCTCGTGCCGAGCTCAGCACGAGCAACCAGACGAGGCACAAGCAGGCTCCGTCCCGGATCATGGTCGGGGCTGCTAATGGCATCGCCATGGCCGTTGAAGTCGATGTAGACTCGTCTCGGGTTTTTCAGAACGGATGAAACCAGGAGCTTCTCATCGCGATCCAACTACAATGCGACACGAGACATGCTTTGTAAGTTGTCACAGTCGAGCAAAAAGACACGAATCAAAATCCAAATACAGATGCAATGTCAGACTGACCTCACAAGTGTCCTCCTCCAAGCGAGCGGAAAGCATGGACAGCAGCTGGACACCGAACGAAGTTTTGCCCATTCCACTCATCGAGATCATTTGCCAGAGTGGGAAGTGACCACGAGAAGGGTATTGCAAACCCTGAATACTCAGCTGCAGCAAGTTGAGACACCTGTCTTCCACAGCTCGTCGGCGGATCGGAAACTCGGGCACGTCTGGCATACCGCCGGGTTCGAAGCGAGCAGACAAAAAGCTGTCACCTGGCAAGGTCACCCAAAGTCAAATGAAGCACACACACACACACGCACACACACACACACACACACACACACACACACACACACACACACACACACACACACACACACACACACACACACACACACACACACACACACACACACAGAAAGTCAGTTCTTACCTGAGTTTGGCATTGCGACATCTGCTTGCACTTGCGTCACGGCCGTCAGGGAACGCTGTGCATTCTTCATTGCAGTCAGCTGCTGTGAAGCGCCGTGGGATGCGTTGTCGACAACTTGTTGATTCTATTAACCAAACGGCAAAGTTTTGAATTCGGGCGCGAAAGTGGGCAACATTTTGGCATCGTCACAGGCTGTCAAAGAACAACATGACTGCGGTGGAAACTCTCAAGTACACATTCACGCAATCGCGTTGGAGCAGAAGGGGCGTCAACATGGGGTTGTTGAAGAGGGAAAGGTTGGCAAAAAAACCACACTAAACAAACGGGCGGGAACTGCCGAGACACAAAATCTGACTAAATTTGGAACATCAAAAGCAAGTCGCTTACGTTCGCTCTGGCTCGTTTCGTCGACTGGCTAGCGTCAACATCGTCTAAGGAAGCTGCGGATGCGGTGCGCGCGTTCGGCTTCGGATCGGCGGCTGGAGGCGGTAGATCCGCTTGCGACTTCGGTTTGGCCGACATAACAAACAGGAAAGAAGACTGAGCCGAGACGCGACGCTTTAGGAAAATGGAGTGATTGTAGTAGCTTCCATCGAATCGAAAGCAACGGGGGTTGTTGTTCGGAAAGAAGCGAATCGAAGTCAGCAATGTCGATTCATTGATCCGTCCGTCCACCGCGCTGCCGAGCACTTGTAGGTCTGCATGGGGTAGAACAAGTCATTCAGCTCTAAACTCGAAATGCACATCGTTGCTCATTCAACGACGGCCCCCGGCTTTGCTTTTTGCGATTGAGCTGTGGACTCCCCAACTTCATCTGAATCACACAAACGCGTGAGCTGGCGCCTCAATCGGAGAACGCTCTGCGTCGAAATTCGAGCAACCACAAGTACAGTTTTGCCGTGCTTTTGTAGGCGCAGTAGTGCACCTTTGTGCCTTCCTTTCGTTGAATTTCGAACGGACGAGCACAAAACCAAACAAAGAATGTCATCGAGTCACTCGGAGCCTCACAACGAAGCCAAGCACTATTGCACCAAGGGACAAGTTGCCCGCCATTGCAACATTACACCTATCTCGCGGATGATCAGTTCCATCCTCGAAAGCTTTGACGAGCTGCGGACACTTGTCTCAGTTCGGAATCTTTTTTTCCAGCACCAAAATGACAACAATGATGAATCGAACAAAATGACAACAATGATGAATCGGAAATTGAAGCTAGCGCAAAAACACGAGGACAACACAAATTGAGAAGCATAACAACGACACAAAACAACTTTAGAATGCATTCGAGCTGCAGAAAACCAACATCGCCAGTTTACTAGTTGGCAATTGACGCGTAGTCGACATTCCCCGTCTGCGTGGAAGGCACACCAGCGACCGTCGCGTAAGTGGTTGGCGAGGTCGCGGCTGGCATGCGAACAGACGAGGGATCAGGGAGCAAAGGATTGGCGTACTGGACACCCGATCCAGACACCGCTGCGTCGGCATACACCTGTTCCGATAAACCAACAGGAGCCCGGGGCCTTGAGCCAACATCCTCGTACACGGCATGGGAGCTAGCAGCAGACGACGCGACGTAGGTCTGCTCGGATGGCACGACAGCGATCGCCGAATACGTGGTCGCCGCGTTTGCGGACGGCACACGCACAGACGAAGCGTTGGGCAGCAGCGTATCGGCATACTCGACGCCGCTTCCTGAAACCTGGGCCGTACCGAATGCAGACGCAGACGCTTCGGCATACACCTGTTCCGACAAACCCACCGGCGCCAGGCGGCTTGAGGAGGCAACATCTTCGTACAAGACGGGGTTGCCAGGAGAGGACACAGCTTCATAAGTTGGATTCTCAAGGATTCCCGCAGTGTCGCTATGCTCAGCAGACTGGTAAGCCAGTTCAGACCCGGAAGTTGATGCGCGCAGTTTGGTGGCTGTGCTGGTGGTTGCCAATGCGTTTGGCGAGCGACGGCGCCGAAGGGCTACGAACAGTGCAATCAACAAGAGGAGGCCGAGCACGCCAAAAATGACTCCAAGAATAATCGGCAAAGAAGAAGCATCACTTGATTCGTGTGGAGCATCGGACGCCGCCGATACTGCCGATGTCTGCCATGCGGATGAAGCACTGGCGGCTGATGCGGACGCCTGTGAGGCAATGGAAGCCGAGGATGCAACAGCAACTGATGCAGATACCAGTGAGGCCATTGATGCCGAGGTTGCGGAAATATCAGAAGCCAATGACGCGGACGCCTGTGACGCCGAAGATGCAGCAGCAGCGGACGCCGAAAGCGCTGAAGCGGCGGAAACCAGAGACATAGCCGACGCCGCCGAAGCAGACTGCGTGGACGCGATGGACGCATCGGACGCATTGGTCGCGGCTGATGCGATGCAGACGCTGCCCATCGACACATAACCGTCGTAGCACTGAGTGCAGGAATCGGATGAATTGCAGGCCAGGCAATTGGTTGCACAACACGCACCAGACCCAGCCGCATAGCAGGTGGCACAGCCTGTATCACACGCTGCAGTACAGTACAAGCGTCAGTGAAACGATCGCACGGCAATCACCTCTCAAACTTACGGTATGGTTCGGAGACACTGCCATAGGTGCTGGGCGGAGCGACAGTATTCCCACCAAAGGTAAAGTTGTTGGGGCTCATGTATTGTTGTGAAACTGATAAATACAATCCATTTGGCAAGCCCTGGAACAGCCCCGGGGGCAAAGTGGTGACAGGATTGCCATCCAACACCCTAAGCAGTCACTCAAAGTCAGAGGCGAATCAACGACATGATTCAGGTGCTCTTGCTTACAAGTATGTCACCGCAGTCAGGCCGGTGAATGCAGAGGCGGCAATGCTGGTGATCTGGTTTGTGGACAAAACTCTGTCAGGCAGAGTCGCATACGAGACGAGGGTGAGCCGTTGGTGTGCATGTCTGTACTACATGCCTTTGACTTGCTTACACGGCTTGCAGCGCAGTCATGCCTGCGAATGCGTTTGCAGGAATGCTCGTGATGCTGTTGGTGTACAAAATCCTATCGAGAATATCGCCAGCGCGTGAGCCGTCTGTGTGTGGTTCTCAGTATCTCGCTTGCTTACAAGGTACTAAGCGCAGGCAGGCCTGTGAGTGCAGAGGAGGGAATGCTGCTGAACTGGTTGGAGGTTAGATCCCTACAAATACATGAAATGTTGCAAACAAGTGAGCTGTTTGTGCTTGATTCGTCCAGCTGTAGCTCGCTTACAAGAAACTCAGCGCATTCAAGCCTGTGAATGCGTCTGCTGCAATGCTAGTGATCTGGTTGCCCGGCAATTGTCTACAGATGGAGCGCAAATGAGTGAACTGCTCATGACAATCTGCGTTTCGTTGCTTGCTTACAGCTGTGTCAGCGCAACCAGACCTGTGAATGCGTTCGCAGAAATGCTGGTCAACTGGTTGTCCCGCAGATTTCTACCAAGTGTCGCAAACAAACCGCGTGAGCCGTTTGTGTGTGGTTCTTCATGCCCTTTGGTTGCTTACAGGAGAGTCAGGGCAGTGAGGTCTGTGAATGCGTCTGCGGGAATACTGACGAGCTGGTTGGAGGACAGATATCTACAGACAGAGTCGCAAGCGAGTGAGCTCATTGTGCGCGATGTCTCCAGTCATTGCTTGCTTACAGGCAAGTCAGCGCGCTCAGGCTTGCGAATGCGCCCGCGGAAATGCTGGTGATCGGGTTGCTTTGCACGGTCCTGTGGATACAGTCGCAAACGAGTCAGCGGTTTGTTTATGATTCTCACTATTTGGCTGACGTACAAGTAGGTGAGCGACGTCAGGCCTGCGAATGCGTTAGCAGGAACACTGGTGATTTGGTTGTTGTCCAGAATTCTACATTATAAAAGTCGCACGTGATTTAGCCGCTTCAGAGTGCGATTCTACATGTCTTTTCGTGGTGCTTACAATGTCTTCAGCGCAGTGAGGCTTGTCAGTGAAGCGTCGTTAATGCTGGTGATCCGGTTTTGATACAGACTTCTACAGATAGAGTCGCAAACCAATGAGCCGTTTTTAGTGTGATTCTTCCTTGCCTCTGACTTGCTTACAAGTTGATCAGCGTATTCAGGTCTGCCCATGCAGAGGCCGGAATGCTGGAGATCTGGTTGTTATACAAAAGGCTACAGATGGACCCGCAAACATTGTGAGTCGATGGTGATGGCTGGCTTGATTCGTCATGTCTTTCTCGCATGCTTGCGTACAGCTGCGTCAGTGCAGTCAGGCCTACGAATGCGTTTGCCGAAATACTGGTGATTTGGTTGTTATCGAGTCGCCTACAGAAAGCGTCATCCGAATGAGTGAGCAGGTAGGCATGCGTGCGATTCTTTTGACCTCGCGTTTGCTTACAAATCCTTCAGGGCAGTCAGGACTGTGAAGTTATAAGCGGGAATGCTCGTGAGCTGGTTGGCGTAGAGATGCCTACAGATCGAGTCGCAAACGGGTGAGTTGTTTGGTGCTTGATTCGTCATGTCACTGCTTGCTTACAAGGTTGTCAGCGCAGTTAGGCCTGTAAATGCGCCGGCAGCAATGCTGGGGATCAGGTTGCCCTGTAGAGACCTATCGACCGTACGCAAATCAGAACGGGCAAAGCTTCAATTTGAGGTCAACTCGACGGCGACACTTACAGGCGGGTTGTGGTGACAGGGATTGCGCTAGGAACGGTTGTGAGAGCTCGATAACTGCAATCGACACTGGTTCCCAAGCAATCGCACACGCCAGGGTCACATGCATTGACTGCTTGTGCCAGCTGAACGTGATTTGCCGCGCAGAACAGCATCAGCAGCATCAGCAGCAGACCAGGGGCAATTCGTTTGGTTGCCATCTGTTGAGGGTGGACGCGTGTGTTTTGAATCAGAGACGCTGATCGGGTGAGCTCGCAGTTTTTTTCAACAAACGCTTGCCCGCAACGCCACATTGCTGAGCTTCGGTTGTATGTGCGTGCGTGCGTGAGTGAGTGAGTGAGTGAGTGAGTGAGATGCGGATGGGCTTCCATCCCATTCGTTCGCCGTTCTGAAACGTGAGCGTGTCAGCCACGCGCTCACATGCTCATTGCGGTTTTTGTTGGGTTTTGTGCCATTTTGCCGCAAACCGGCGCTTTTCACAAGTTGACCTGCCTCTCCCCTCTTCTGCTATGCGCGCTTCTTTGATCACCTCCACTGCTTTGATTTGACAAGCGGCGAATCGAGGAGCGCGGCAGAATGCAGCTCGACCGACCGCATATCAGCTCGGCAGACATAAAGCTGTTTTTTTTTTTGTTTTTTTGTTTGTTTGGATTTTTGCGACGTCGCTGCCGTTGATGCATTCATAGTCGCAGCGGTGATGTTGTTCCTTTCATCGTGACACTGCTTTTGCTCACATCAATTCTATTGCTGCAACAGGAGCGCATCGGAGGAGCAAAGCCGCAGGACACAAGATTGCAGCGCGTCTCGATCGGCTGCTTCTTTGTGGTTCTTTGTGCTGAGCTGCTCTCCTCTTCACAGTGGCACCGCAGTAGAGACCAAGTTCAAAGACAAGCGAGACAATCGAACGACAATCACGAATCGCTCCTTTGTTTGGGTTTGATGATGCGATTTGGCCTTACTGTTGCCGTTAAAACTGGTGGACGGGAATGGAAATCGCACAGACAAGCCAACAAACCCGCAACAACAACAACAACAAAAACAAAAACAAAAACAAAATAGAGTGGTCACAATCCATTCGCAATGTGATTTGGTATTTGGATCATTCTTGCTGGCGTTCGCTCGACTCTGCGCACAGCGTCACAGCCGATCTTGCACGAAACTCCACATGACATCGAAGCTCACATCGTGCAACACGCAAGTGTCAAGCACGCTCCACCCAATCGCACTCGAGAATATCCTACAGAGCACATAGCGCTCGCTCGATTGCTAGTTTGAGATCAATGCGTCATCGCCGTTCGTGCCAATGAAAGTCGTGATCTTTATTATGTTTGTGTTTTTGCTGTCAAAACAACCATCTAAAAGCCTCATGGGGTGCCCGGGCCAATCATATCGGTCGTCGCTGTCCGTACAATGACGGTCCAGCCTTGTCTGACTGGAATAACCGACGTACAAGAACGACCTGGCCAACGCCAACGCCAATCATGACGAGGGCTTGAAGAAGCGACCATACAAACACGCGCGTGTTCAGTCCTTCGGCCAAGTCCCGATCAGTTGCCTCTTCAATTCGGTGGTGCAGCTGGAATGCAATGACCTGCATTCGCCAACGACGCCCCAAAAAGAAAAAAAAGCAAAAAAAAAAAAAAAAAAAAAACGGTCAGCAACCAACCCAACTCTGTCGCACCCTCATCGTCAAAACGTCGTCTGTTACCCGATCGAGATTCTGATGGGTCGAGTGCACATCCATTTCCATCTTGGTCATCACAGTGGTGTGGGCGGGGAGTTCGTTCTCGGCCACAGCTTGGTCGCCAATCTTGACATCGAAAAACACGGTTTTGTGGGTGAACGTGGAGAACTCGTTGCTAAAGCAAATCTACAACGTGAAGCAAAGAACTCGCTATGAGTAACACCATTCTGTTGTAGCTTTTGCTGGCAAGAAGTCGAAGAGCGAGCTCCGCCGCGATTTACCGAGAAGGTTCCGCTCGTCTTTGGCACCATCTCAAAGCCATCAAGCGTCGAGCGGTCGCGACGGAAGACCTCGACATTGTTGGGGTCTACGACAGCGACGTCAATGTCCAGGTTGCCTCCGGTGATGACCTGCACGGGGGACAAACAATCAAACACAAGCACGGGTTTTGAGCTGAATGAGGTGACTTTGGCTCGATTGTGAGTGTAGGTGTGAGTGTGTTGGATGATTATTGGTCCTCTTTGCATTCACTTGGTTTTTTTTTCTTTTCTTTCTTGTGCTTTGTTGCTCAGACTTTGACCAATTTCGGCTTCCCAAAGTTTGCAGCTTTTTTTTTTTTGTTTTTGTCTTGCCTGGTACGAGAGGACGAACGGCTCGCTTGCGATCGCGTCTGCATAGTAGCATTGCGTTGTTGACTCGTCCATCTCAAAGACGAGCTTGGTGGACGATGATGACTGTGCTGCAGTGTCATCGCTGAGGACGACGACGGGTGCGTTTGCGTCTGGCTGCTGCTGCTGCTGATCGGACTGGGCCGCAGCGAGCACAACGCCCGGAGCGAACGACCTGCCCAGCAGCACCACTGGCGACGACGGAGCGAGCACAGTCAGTGCCAGGAGTGCAATCGCAGCGATCGAGAACGACAGCGAGAACGGCGGCGAGCGACGGAGCACTGGCACCGAGCGCGACCTGGGCGGTGCGTTCAGCATGGACAATGCTGGATTGTGCATTCGGATAGTGACGATTGTGATCAGTTGGGTCGAAATGAGGATGGCAGTGAGAGGAATAAAAAAACAAAACAAAAAAAAAAAAAAAAAAAAAAAGACTGTTCCTTCTTTCATTGGACTTGCATTACAGCCTTCCCTGGATTGCCTGTTTCAAGAAGATGCAACTCAGCATCGGATTGGAATTGAGTAGGCTTCTATTGATTGATCGAATGACGCGGGTGATGGAGTCAAAGCAGCGAGACTGACTTTGAGATCAGCCCTTCTCTCTCTCTGTCTCGCTCTCTTTGTGTTTATGGACTCTGAGCCTGCGATTTGCTCGATTTTTACGCACAGCCTTTTGGGTCGAAATTCACTCTTCTAATTTCCCCATCTGAGCAAGTTTGTGTGGTTTACATTGTGACGCCGTTGTTGCTGCAAAACACCGCTCAGATTTTAGCCGCTTCTTCTTCACGGCTTGTCTTGACAACGCACAGCTCACTTTCCTCACTTTACTCACTTTACTTCACTTTACTTCACTTCACTTCACTTTACTCGCTCACACAGACCTCTCTGTGTTCCTTTCAGCTTCACAACGCTTCTCTGTGATCTGGCTCCCCGCTTCGCTACAGAGCGTCCCTGCTCCGCTCGTCGCTTCCGTCCCGCGTGTCCCGCTCGCTCCGTTCGTCACTGCACTCCGCTCGCGCTTCCGGTGTCCACCAGGCAGGCCCAATGGCGTCGTCAGAGCCGGTCGTCGGTGTCGGTGCTCGACCTCGCTCGTCCTCTCCACTTTCGGCTGCGCCACCCCCTCCTCCTTCTGTGCTTCCTGCTCCAGTGCACCAGCCAATGCAGACAATGCAACCGCCGAGCATGTGGTCGATGTACACCTCGCAGGTCAAGACGCTGCGCCAGCAGCACTTGAATCTGCTCGTCAATGTGCCGCACCACTTTGTCTTTGACGACACGTCGGTGCTGCTGAATCCCGCGGACGGAATCCTTCAAGCCCACGGTCAATACAGCAGTCCAGATCAAGAAGGCCAAGACCAGGACGATTATGACGACGGTGCGCACCACGACGATGACTCTGCGTTCTGGGATGCCCAATCCTCTGAGAACGGGTCGAGCTCAGACATCAGCTCCTGCCTTTCGTCTTCGGATCATCATCACCTTCATCATCATCATGACGATCTTCTCTCTGGTAGTAATAGTAATAGTGTCCAGACTGCTTCCCCGCCAATCCCAATGAACGACTGGCGATCCGCGTCACAAAACGGCAGCGCGCTTTCATCGCGCGCAATCACTCCATCCGTACGTAGTGCAGTTGACTCTCGTGCCAGTTCACCAAGTTGCTCATTGCGAGCTGAAGACCGGCCTCCGCGATTGTTGTTTCTTGGTGTTCCTCGGGGTTTCCGAGAGCATACAATCATGTCCGTGTCCCCGTCTCACCGCCCGTCCGAAGCGCCCGGTAAATCCAACGTGTTTGCGCATGTTGCTGGGCTTTGCATCTGAGAACTTGATCAGGGTCTAACATGCGCACACACACACGCACACATTTTCTGTCCCTTTTCGACTCTCTGTTCCAACTGCAGCGCATTGGCAACAAATGTGCCTTTTCAGCGCTCGTTCTACTGGGCCATCACTCATCCTGGCAAGTGGACAAGGTGGCCGATTGAACGGCTGCGACGACCAGTCTGCCCCAGCGCGGCTGTCTCGTGACGAGCAACTCAGTCGCGAGCGCAAGCGCCAAAACGCTCTCGGAATTACCTCGTTCGAGTTTCACAGTCACAGCGGCCGCGTGCTTTTTCCAAAGGACTCGTCAATCAACTATTGTGAATCTCGCAATAATTCGCAGGTTACGCTCAACGTCCCCCACACCCTCCGCTTGCTTCCTCTTCCATGAGCTTGAACAACCAAACCCACTCATTCCAATTCCTGTTGCTTGTCCTTTCTGTACGTAGGCTGTTTTTTATGAGCTGCAGTCCCAGCACCCAAGTGTGAGGCTGGATTGCAAATTTTCTAGTAATCCAAACTTGATATCGTTCGTTCGAGATGGCGACGTGTGGATTGCCCTTCTTGAAACAGGCAAAGAGCACCGCGTGACATTTGCGCGTCAAGGTGATCCATATTGAATAATGAAACGCGAAAAATGCTCTTCAACGTTACCTGAAACTGACTCTTTGATGCGTCGGTTGCTTCGAAAACCCCGTCTGCACCACTCACACAATTCAGATGCAGCCGACGACATCGCCAGCCACACAAAGTCTGCCGGATTGGCAGAATTTATCATGCAAGAGGAATTTAGCCGGTTTACGGGGTATTGGTGGCAGCCGCAACCTGATGCGGCACCCACAACCACGCCTGTCGTGCACCGAATACTGTTCATGGAGGTCGATGAAGCGCCCGTCGATCTCATTCATATTGGCAACTCGGCCCAACACGCGGATGAGGTTTTGAGATATCCACGCACCGGTGCGTCTGCTTGCAAGTGTGGATTTGCGCTCCGAGGTTGTCGCACTCACTTCACTCTGTCTTTTTGAACCACCCTTTTTTGCATTGCCTCTTTGTTCAGGACAAGCCAATGCCGTATCAGAAGTGAAAATTGTTGAATTTACGATTTCGAATGGCCGGGTATGGTTTTGTTTTTGTTTGGTTTTGTTTTTGTTTGGTCTTGTTGTTGCTTCCACTTACTTGCAACGTCCATCACTCCCACTTGCCGTGCAAATAGCTCGTTGGCGAACTCGTGACTCGCTCGCTGCCTTGCGCGCTTTCTCGGCTTTTCCCTTGGTTGGAATACGTTGTGCGATGCAGCTGGACTCCCGATGGCGAATGGTAAGCAGCGATGAACGTGCACGTTTCAGTCCATGTCCTTTCGGGGTCTCACTTTACTTGGGTTTGGTCCCTTTCTGTGCTCTCCGTGGCCGTTGTTTGTTGGGATGGTGTGCAGGATTCAATTACAGCTTTTGGACCGAGCTCAACAGTATTTGGTTCTCGTCGTTCTTCCGTTGAGCGCGTTTGCGACGCCTTCTTTCTCGATGCACGGAAGCGTCACGCTCGCGGATCTTGGCGGATTTGTTGTTTGCGAAGAGTCTTCGTCCCATTGGGTGAACGTAAGCCCAGCTTTTTTTTTTCTGAAATCGAGCGCCGTTTCCGCTGTTTCCTCTGCGTTCTGACCCCACACATGCGCGTAAACACGCATTCCCATACAGATTCTAGACTGTTGTATCTGGACGAAATCGCCGTCAAGCCCTGAACCCTCTCTCATTTGGTGCAGCGAACGGACTGGATTCGCCCATCTCGATTTCATCACATGCACTCGCAACGCAAGCGGAATTGTCACCAACAGCACTCGTGTACCATTGACTCAAGGCCCTTGGATTGTTGAGCCTGGGCGTGTCTGGTGTGACGCTGTACGCGGCCTTGTCTACTTTTTGGGGACACGCGATACACCGCTCGAGCTTCACTTGTATGCGCTCGATGTTCCGCTCCTTCGCGATGTCTATTGCCCTGCAAGCCGCTCCAGTTTGCCAGTGTTTCAACCCGTTCGCTTGACCGCGCTGGGGTATTCCCATGCAATCACGATGAACTCGACATGCCAGTGGTACACGGACACGTTCTCGTCCATATCCGCTCCACATTGCACTGTTCTAGTGCATCTGCGAGTTGCCGAAGCTTCAGAACTAGCATCGGGAGCCGTTCTTGAAGGCGCACCCACCTGCAAGTCGGGTGTTGCCGCAGTCATGCAACTAGCTTGCTTGCTGCTTTCAAACCGCGCGTCTGGTGCACTTGCATCGCTGCAGGCGCCGACCTTGGCCGCCCACGTGCATGCGACCCTCTTTGTATCAACCGCGTATCCTCACTTTTCCGCGCCAGAGCTGTTTCAGGTTGCCCATCACGATGGTGAGAAGCCTTGTTTGCTTGCTCTGTTTTTTTTTTGGCTGCCGTCCTGCCTGTACCTGTGGCATGCTGTTGTCCTGCCTTGCTCCTATGGTTCCTCACTGGTTACATGTTCTTTGCCCCCCCCCCCCCTTTTTTTTGCCAGGCTTTGCAATCCACGGACTGCTGTTCAAGCCTCGGGCTGAGCGTGGTGTCGCGAGTACTCCTTGTCCAACGGTGCTTTATGTGTATGGTGGCCCATCACTGCAGGTACAGCTTTGTGTCGAGCGTTCGACGCTGTTGTCGTTTGCCTCAAAATCTTGGTCGTGCCAACCCACTCACGTTCAACGTGCTCTCCAGATGGTCACGAACGAGTACCAAGCTAGTACGCAACTCCGCTTGCACGTGTTAGCAGCCATGGGATATGCAGTTGTGATGGTGGATGGCCGCGGGTCGGCGCGACGGGGTGTCGAGTTTGAGACGCATCTCCATGGCCGGCTTGGGCAAGTTGAAATGGCCGATCAAATCATGGCCCTGCAGCATGTTGCTCTGCAGTCTGGCTTGATTGATCTTGACCGAGTAGCAGTTTACGGCTGGTCGTACGGTACGTTTTTTGCCCCGATCGCTTGATTTTTTTTTCTGCTTGTCTTGACATTGCGCTCAAACTTTGGTCGTATCTGAACGCAGGCGGGTACTTGGCACTGATGGGCCTGGCTCAGCACGCTGACTTTTTCCGAGCGGCAATTGCAGGCGCACCTGTCTCGTGCTGGCGGTCGTACGATGCTGCGTACACTGAGCGGTATCTCGGCCTTTTTGACGAATCCTCCTCGAGCATTTACAGCCATGCGTCCGTCATGAACTACATTGACGGCTTTCCAGACGAGTGAGTGCAGTCCTTGCGTCTCATGAATTGTGTTTTGGTGTCGAGCACGGTGGTGATTTGCACCCATTTTTTTGAATCCGACAACTCACCAAACAACCAACCAAACAACAAATCTGAAACAACACAAACCAACACCCTGTTTGTTTTTTTTCCCCCATCTGTTCGCTTTCTCACAGAGAGGACCGTCTGTTGATTCTCCATGGTCTGATTGACGAGAATGTGCACTTTTCCAACACGGCTGCGCTGGTGGATGCGCTCGTGTTTGCCGGCAAGCCGTACCGATTGCAAGTGTACCCAAACGAGCGCCACGGCATCCGCCATTTGAGCTCCTCCGATCACCTTGAAACGCTCCTGTTGACGTTTCTTGGTAAAGTGCTCGCCCGTCGATGACAGTCCCTGCTTGGAGTTGGTTGTTGTTGTTCGAGCCGAGAGAGCGACGTGAGATTCGGTGTTTTTTTTTTCCGTTCTTGTTCTTGTTTGTTTGCTGAAACCTGCTTTTGCCGCCTGGTTCGATGTGAAATCCGGTTTTTTTATAGCTTTCTCATGTGTTCATTATCGGCGTGACTTTGACGTTGTGACTGTGAGACAATTAAAGCTTGACCAAAAAAACCGGGTTTGTTTCAGGTTCCAAAGCTTGGTTTGCTTGTTATTGTTTTTTATTGCAGCGAGACGACGCTGCGGCAGCTGGAACTTGACAGAGTGCTGATGCTCGCGTGGGTAGTTCGTCTAGGTGACTCTATGCTGATGCTGTGCGCGCAAAAGGAGCTCGGCCTAGAAGCGAGAAGCGAGCGCGTGGTCGACTGAAGGTGGGCGTGAAGCATTCGCATTCGCACTTGCTTTGTTTCCCATGCTTGAACAGCGAGATTGGCGGTCGACTTGATCACTCTGTCCGTCCATTACTCTGTCTCTCTCTCTCTCTCTCTCTCTCTCTCTCTCTCTGATATCGCGTTGATCGCTCGCCACACGTGCTCTATATTAGGGTTCACTCTTTTCTTTTCATTCTCTCTCTCTCTCTCTTTCACTCTCTCTCTTTCACTCTCTCTCTCTTTCACTCTCTCTCATTCGCTCTGCATTGGCATCGCGTTTGCTTTTTGTATTGTTCTTCTCCAAGTTCAACCCAGCGAAAATAACACCAAAGCGCAACACTCGAGTCTCTTCTTTCCAATGGACGCAGATGATGATCCCGACGGCGGAGCCCGCCCACATGCTCCTCAAGCTCCCCTAGCCGGCACCCACTCTGCTGCTGCTGCTGCTACCACTCATCATGCTGCTGCTGCTACTGATGCTGCTGCTGCTGCTGCTGCTGCGGTCGAGAGCCGTGCCACCCTCCTCCACCGCAACCCGCCGCTCATGTCCCTCCATGCCGACAACGACGACGACGACGACGACGAAGACGAAGACGATTATGACGAACATCACAATCTCAACGTCAACGACGACGACGACGACGACGACGACGGAGCGGGCGTCGGGGGCGACATGCGCCTCACGCAGCTGCGCAGTTCCGGGCCCAACGCTGCTGCTGCTGATGCTGCTGCCGCCGACACCAGTCCTGGCATCGCCGTGCTCTTCCAGACGCGGTCAGACCGCGTGACGGAGGTCATTGAGGCCGAGCGCAAGTTCAAAAACCGCATTGGCTCGGCGGACACGCTGCTGCGCATGGATGCTGCGACCGAAATCCACGTCATGTCGGACGCGGCGCTGCTGGCGAGCCTCAACCACACGAGCGCGACCAACGGCCTGACGCCCCACGTCGCCGAGAAGCTCTTCCACCTGCACGGTGCCAACGCCCTGCGCATCCCCAAGCCTCCCGTGTGGCGCAAGATTGCAAAGTTCTTTTTGGGCGGCTTTGGCCCGATGATTTGGGGCTTTGCGCTGCTGTGCTTCCTCGCCTGGAAGCCCGTGGGCGACCCGCCGGACCCTGTCAACTTGGGCCTGGCCGTGGTGCTCTGCTTGATTGGCTTGAGTCAGGGCGGCTTTGCGGCATTCCAGGAGCATCACTCTGGGCAGGTGATGAGCGCGCTCTCCAAGGTCGCGGTTGCGCAGGCCACCGTCATCCGCGACGGCCAGACTGTGACGGTGCCAGCGACGACGCTTGTCGTGGGTGACGTTGTCCTTGTCAACATGGGCGGCCGCCTTCCCGCTGATGTCCGCTGGCTCGAGGTGCACGGGCTGAAGCTCTCGCTGGCCAACCTGACTGGCGAGAGCGAACCCGTCACTGCCACCACCCGCTCGACGCACGAAAACTTTATGCATTCACTCAACATGGGCTTCCTCGGCTCGGATGTCATCGAGGGCTCGGGCAAGGGCGTCATTGTGGCGACTGGCAACCAAACGGTCATGGGCAAAATTGCCATCATGGCGTCCCAGACGAGCGGCCCGTCGTCGTTGGAGCGCGACATTGGCGTGCTGGTCATCATTCTCTCCGTGTGGGCGGTTGCCACGGCAGTGTTCATTGCCATCCTGTGGGGTGCTTGGCTGCGCAACTCGTACCCCCAGTTCATGTCGGTGGCTGGCTTGCTCACCACGATGGTTGGCGTCGGTGTCACGTTCATCCCCGAGGGTCTGCCCATGGCTGTTGGACTGGCGCTGACTGCCACTGCCAAGCGCATGCACAAGAGCAACATTCTCGTTCGCGCCCTGACCAGCGTCGAAACACTCGGCTCGGTGGACACTGTGTGCTCGGACAAGACGGGCACGCTGACTCAGAACAAGATGCATGTTGGTCGCATTGTTTGCAGCGATCGCATTGAAAAGTCTCGCGCCCGTGTGCACCGTCTGCAGCAATCTGGCTCGCGCAGCGTGCTCGAGCTCCTGTGGTCGCTGACGCTCTGCAACAACGCCACAATTGCCACTGATGAGCCTGAAGCTGGCGGACTGCCTGCCATTCGTGGCGATGCATCCGACTCTGCCATCCTGCGCTACTGCTCTGAGTTTTGCAACATTGGTGCTGTTCGCCTCCGCAGCCCCCGCGTCGCGCACATTGCATTCAATTCGCGCAACAAGTGGATGCTGTCCATTCACGACGGCCCCCTTGATGCGATTGAGCACGTCATGCAAAGTGACAGGGCTGAACGCGATGCCACACCTCCGACAACACTTGCCAGAAGTGGCGATGCTGCTGGTGCTGCTGCTGCCAACCCCAACACGGCCCTCTCGACCCCGGCGCCAGTCACTCGCCGTCGACTGCTGATGAAGGGCGCAGCCGAGTTGATGCTCAAACGGTGCACCCGCTTGCTGTCGGACGACGGGCTGTCTGAAGGTCCTGCCGCCGGCCCTCGCTGGGAGCACATTGTCCGCTCGGTCGAGCAGCTGTCCAACCAAGGCTACCGCATGATTGCTGTTTGCAAGACTGACCTGAACTCGAACGTCGAAATTGCGTCAGATCCCCACCCCGAGTCGCTGCCTTTGGATGACCTGTGCTTTGTTGGCATGGTTGGCCTGGTCGATCCGCCTCGCCCGGATGTGCCTCTGAGCATCAAACGCTTCCACACTGCTGGCGTCAAGGTGGTCATGGTCACTGGTGACCATCCTGGCACCGCCACGGCCATTGCGCGCCAGGTCGGCATTGTTCGCATGGACCGCGTCGGCTCGCTGGCTGATTTCAAACCTGCCTGGCAGTCTGAGCTCGCCTTTTCGTCGAAAACGCCGTTGCCGTATGCCGACCCCGATGATGATGAGTTGCTGGACGACGCAAAGCTGATTCCTGACAAAGCTGCCCACCACGACGAGCTGCACAACATTGAGCTGAATGCCATGAGTGTGCGCAGCACGGGATCCATCGCACGCATGACACACCACCACGAGCGGGCAGCTGCAGACGACCGCGACAACCCCGCTGATTACGTGGTCGACCTGAGCCCGTCCGCGTTGGGCGCCATCACCGTCACGGGAATGGAGATTCCGCAGATGACCGCGTCGCACTGGGACTTTGTGTTTGCGCATCGCGACATTGTCTTTGCTCGAACCACTCCCGAGCAAAAGCTGCGCATCGTGAAAGAGTACCAGGCCCGAGGCCACTGCGTGGCTGTGACTGGCGACGGCGTGAACGACTCTCCTGCGCTGCGTCAGGCGGATATCGGTGTGTGCATGGGCAGCGGCTCGGAAGTCGCCAAGGAGGCGTCGGACATTGTTTTGCTTGACGATAGCTTTTCGTCCATTCTTGTTGCAGTCGAGCACGGCCGCCTGATCTTTGAAAATCTCAAGAAGGTCATCTTGTACCTGATGCCTGCTGGTGAATGGGCTGAAGTGATGCCGGTGCTCGTGAATGTGCTGCTCGGCGTTCCGCTTGCGCTCTCGTCCTTTTTGATGATTTGCACGTGCGCGGCGACCGACATTGCTCCTGCGCTTGCCTTGGTCAAGGAACACGCCGAGCGTGACATTATGCGCCAGCCCCCGCGCAACCGTCGCCAGCAGCGCTTTATCGACTGGCGCTTCATGGTCGACGCCTTCTTGTACAAGGGCATGATTATCAGCCTGGGCGCGTTCATCATGTTCTTTTGGTACATGCAAAAGTATGGCGGTTTTGGCGTGACCGACCTGATCTTTGCCTTTGACAAGTGGACGGATGGCTTCCACGGCAAGACGCAGGACGAGCTGAACGAGCTGCTCTACACTGGCCAGTCCGTGTACTTTATTGCCCTTGTCGAGATTCAGTTTGGCCACTTGTTTTCGACGCGCACCCGCTACCTGTCCTTCTTCCAGCACAACCCCTTCAAGGCTGGCCCCCACCGCAGCTTCCGCCTCATCCGTGCCATGTGCATCTCGATTGTTCTGGCCATTCTGATCATTTACGTGCCGTTCATCCAGGACTATCTCAACACGCGTCCTCCTCCCACGGAATTCTGGTTTGCCCCCTTCTCCTTCTCGGTGCTGCTCTTTGCGCTGGATGAGACGCGCAAGCGCGCTGTCGCCCGCAATCCCCGCGGTCTTCTTGCCAAGCTTGCTTGGTGAGGTTGTGTGTTTTTGTTTGGTGTTGCCCTTGATTGTTTGTTTGTTTGGTGTTGTTTGGTGTTTTTTTCCGTTGATTGTTTGCTGTTTGTTTGTTTGTTTGGTGTTGTTGTGGCCTGCTTGCCTTGGAGCGCCGTGTTCTTCGGAGGTGCAGTGCTTTTGCTCTGTGTTTGAGTGTGTGTTTGAGTGATTGGTTTTGGCATTCGATTTGTTGCTTCAATGTCTGTCGCGAGTGTCAGTGTTACACTGCAACAAGGCCATTGTATTGACAAATCGACAACCCATCGCCATCATCGTGATTACAAAATTTCGTCTCCAAACTCTGAGAAGCTCAGTCGTCCAAAGCCACATACATTTTCCAAGCAGAGTCCGATGGACTACCATGCATTAGCGCACGAGGTTGAGCAGGCGCTCGCCGGAAGACCAGCCACAAATCCAGAGAGCAATCAACGCAGCTTCATTCCATACGCTGTGGACGCTGGCGACGCTGGCGATGTGGGCACCGAGAGCGATGATGCTGCGGACGAGGACTGGATTGGCGACTCGAGCGTCGATAGCCAGGCGCTCGTGCACGCGCTTGCCCTGTCTGAGGACGATGACCAAGAGTACACCAGTGCTGCTCGTCACTCCACTGGGGCGGGGCGCGAACAAGGACGAGCACCAGGCAATCTGAACGAACTGAACAATCTGAGCAATCCGGGCAATCTGAGCAATCCGGGCAGTCTGAGCAATTTGCACAATCGCAACGAGATGCACGCCAGTCCTACTCTCGAATCGCAGCTGACAAACTCGCACGGACGACAAGACAACCCAGACGACGCCCATTCAACCGGAAACGGCGCATTCTCACAGAATGCGCACCCCGAATCCGATTCAATACGTCAAGCAACCAATACACAGTGTCATGACAAGGTGCATGTCCCCTTCAATCCCGAGCAGATACTGTTGACGGCGGACACGTCGCTATTCGACTTGCCGGCGCTCGACGGTTGGGAAGCCTACCCAGATCTTCACGAAGGCGACATGTTCTCCCTGGGCGACGAGACCGAGCTGGTACCTGGCGAACGAGATCCCGACTCGAATCGACACGTCGAGCACCTTGCTGAAGCGGAACTTTCATCGGCGGCGTCCTTGTCTCTCCACCAATCTTCCTCCGCCCAGCAACAACAACAACAACCACAACAACAAAATCAACAGCCTCTGAATTCGTCCGCCAGCGCACCTCAGCCTAAACTAGCACTCTCCATCGAAGAGATGGAGCGCCGCCTTGAGGCCAAGATTGCCGAGGCAGATCGATTACAGGCAGAGTCTGAATCTTGGAAATCGCTCTGTGAAACAGCCGAATTTCAGCTGGAGGAGCTTCGCGCCGAAATGCTCCACAACGCGGCCGCGATAGACCAGGGTGCACTGTCGCTTTCTCAGGTGACCAGGAACCTGGCGGATGACGATGCAAGCGAGTCACACCAGGTCGACCTTTCACAACAGCTCGAGGCCTCCCAAGCAGAGTGCGACGAGCTGCGACAACGTTTGACCTTGCTGGAGCAGCAGGTCGAACAAACCAACCAGCAGGCTGCAAGCGCTCTCGTCGCGGCACGCGATCAACTCTTGCTGCAGCATCAAGCAGCGCTGAAAGAGCAGGCACGATCCCACAAGCAGAAAATCGCAGACATTAAACAAAAGGCCATGGCCTACCACGACAAGTTTACGGTTGATTTGTATCAGCACGTCTATCGACACTTTGTTGAGCACTTGTCCAATGGAGTCGACATCAAATTGCTCGCCCAGCTGCCATCTTCCTCGTCGACCCCGACTCCAGTCGCTCTTCCAAGGCAGCCAGCAGTGGTCGAGCAACAGCCTTCATTGCAACTCGCCGCCTCGCGAGAAGACGTGCTGCAGTCACAAACAACCTCAGGCTCCAGATCTGCCAAACTGACCGTAACATCGACCTCGTCGCACAACGCTGCACGTGCGCAACCACCTGCACAGAGCAACTCCCCTCGAGTGCCCGGATCCACAGGCATTCACTCGGCACCACTCGGAGGCACCTCGCAGACTTTTCGACAAACGCACTTTGTAGCCCGTCCAGCGCCTCCTTCGACGTATTCGCCCCCAGCCGCCAGACCTGCACCATCACAACACCAACAATCACGCATTTCTGCGAGCAGTGGTGGTGGGCGCCATTTATGAATTGGTTGATTCAATAAACATTTCTCACGTCGCGCAGTTGCACCGGCAGCCCCCCACCCATGCTCCCCCGTTTGACATAGTCACTCTGAGGACAAAAATACTCGTGGTCAAATAATGACATTTTGAGGACAAATCAAAGCGAATACACAACATGGAAATCGAATTGCAAAACACGTAAAGCAAGAACGCACACACAAAAACCCCGATCCTCTGAGCGATGCAAACAAAGAAACACAGTGCTACCGCCAAAAGCAGGGTAGAAGGGCGGGGGGAAAGGGGCTCGAAGCCCAAGAGAACTCTGAAAACTGGAAGACAGGCTGGCGCGGTTTTTTTTTCTGTTTGCTGTTTCTACTGGTAACCCATCTGGCGGAGTTGAGCTGCTGCAGCCTGGACATCGTAGCCGACATTGCGAAGAGCACTCTCAAGAACCTCGTTCTCGACGGCAGGGAACATTCGCTTGATATTTTGACGCGCCTCGCGCTTGCGGCTGGCTTGGGCGTCCGATCCGCTGCGCTCCTTCATCGGCATGTCGTTGTTGGCGGAGGCCCGGTCCTTGCGAGAGAAGTACCAGCGCGCCATAACCACCAGGAAGACAATGGCAATGACAATGGCCATCACCACATACCAGTTGTTGACAATCCAGTCCTTGATGTTGTTCAATGCCTTGCTGAGGGCGTTCTTCAGCGAAGCATCGTGATTCGACTCCTTGCAAGCACCTGCGCCGTCACAATAGCCAGCGCTGCTCTCGCCGTCGTCCGTGAAAACACAAGTGTAGCTCGTGTCGCGGAAGACTTCAATCTCAAACTCGATGCAAGCGGTTCCAGAAAGGTTCCAGCAGAAAATTTTGCACTGCTCGGTGGCGCTCGTGCATTCGGTGCCATTGTAACCCGCGGGAAATTCTTCGCAACGCGATTTTGTGCAAGCACCTGATTGGCACATGCCGTTGCAATTGGCGCCATTACCGTCGCAGAGACACAGCACGTCATCATCTTCATCTTCACGGGGGTGACAGCTGTTGGGGTACGCACTATCGCAATGGCCGGGCGTCTGACATCCGTCAGTGGTGGCATTGCAGACGACAGCAGTGTTGCCGGGGTTGGAGCAAGTATTCGCGTCGCAGCATGGCGTCTTGAACGGGGAGCATGTGGCACCAGCGGAGGTCCGGAGGGTGCAGTCAGTGTTGCAGCAAGGATCGTAATCGTGGCAAGAGGTCACATCCGTCGAACCGCAGTCGCATTCTTCGTTCGGATCGACAATGCGGTTTCCGCAACCCGAGCTCGCAACCTCAAAGCACGTCGCGCCCTTGTCGTTCAGCACAGCGCCAACGGAAGCCTTGGTGCAAGACGAGAACTTGCGGTTGTTGACCTTGGAGCCGTCAGAGGCGGCATAGTACATAATGTAGTTGCCGTTTGAGCCGCCAGGTGTGCAAGCCGCAGACGTGTCGTGGGGCGAGCCCAGGTTGTGCCCGTGCTCGTGCGCCAGCGTGACTTGGGACACTGCCGCGCTCACAACGCTGCCAAAGTTGAGGGTGGTCACCAAGCCGGCGTTGGTGCTCTTGCCGCCCGAGCGCGCCTGGCAAATGCCACCAGGCGTGCCAGTGAGCGTCGGATAGGCCACGTAGGCAAGACCAAGCGTGCCAGACCAGTCGCGGTGCGTGAACAGGGTGCCGAGACACACGTCGGAAAAGTCCATGCCAGCAAAGCGGTTGAGATAGTCGGCGACGGCCTCGTTGGAAGGCGCGCCAGCAAACACACCGGTGGCGGTCTCAAACACGGAAAAGTGCTCAATCTGGAAACCGTAAAAGTTGACGACCTCGGGATCAATCAGAACGTTATCCGGGTCGGTGTAGATGGCCTGCTCCGAGTTGAACAAGTCCATCATCTTGGTCATAATGGGCGCCTGGGAAGCAGGGGAGCCCATGTACTGCTCGTAAAACTTGAAATCGGCAACCATGTGCAAGTTGCAGTACTTTGCGGGACCAATAGAGCGGCGCATGTTTGAGCGACGAATGCCCGCCGCCTCGTGGAAGGTGCGCAGCCTGGAGGTCTTGGCCTGGTCGAGCTGGGCTCGCGTGGTCTGGCCTTGGCGAATCATAATGTCCTCGAGGTCGCTCATGGCCTTGGACTCGGCATCCGAATCAACCGCGGACAGGTCGACGTCCGACAAGCGGTAAATGACGTGGTCAAACTCGTGCGCCTCGCGCAAGTGGCGGTGGCTGGGCTCAATGTAGTACATTTCGCCGTCCTCGTCGCGCATCGTGGCAACCACATCGCCAGACTCGACGACCGTGGCGTACACGGCAGAGCTGGAGTGGCCTGAGAGACAGACAGAGGAAAGGAGACGAATGAACGAAAAAAAGAGTGAGTGGCACAGAAAGGGGAAAAAAAAAACGGATGAACGCGATGCAACAACAACAAAGCTATTTGCTGCTGCTGCGCACCTTGAATAGAGCCCTTGAATGCAACGGACACGTCAACGGGTTCAACACGCGTGCCGGCATCCGAGTAGATGGTGACGCGAGCGGAAGGCTTGACCATGTCAGTGTTGGGCCGCAGCGTCACACGGAAGGTGCTATCCGGCGGAAATTGCAAGAGCAGCAAAACGAGTCAGCCAGTTGCTCGACGACCAAGGCAGTACAAGAAAACTACGTTGTTCTTACCGTCCGTAAGCTTCAAATTCGAGCGGGATGGTAGCGTCGGCCGTGTCCGCAGCAGATCGGCGAGAGCGGCTGTGGTGGCTGGCCATGACGGCGTTGCCGAGTGACAGGGGTTCAAAGTGCAGGACGTCGTGGGAGAGGCGACCTGTGGACACGAGCATCCATTGTGAGTGCGAATTTGTGATTTTGCGGTGGGTAGATTGTTTTGGATTTGAGGTTGTTATGGGTTAGGGTGCTTTGCGTGGTTATGTGGTGTGTTTTTGGTCAACGTCGAAAACAGCCAAACACAAACCCCACCCCCGATCGCTTCAAACAAAATAATGCATGTTTTGGAATGGCACCACATCCACCACCATCAGTCATCCAGAGCGAGATGACATGCGACAATCGTTGCCAAAGCACACAACAAAAACAAGAAACACCATATTTGGTATGATCTACATTTCAAAAACAATAATAAAAAAATAATAATAAAATAAAAAACAAAATAAAAAAAGATAGATCAAAAAATTTCTGCTTTGGTTTTTTGGGTGACGTTCATTTTTTTGTGCAATAACAAAAAGATAAACCGACAATAAACGATCATCATCGTCATCATCATCGTCATTTCAGCAGTGTGTGTGTGAATGTGTGTGAAGTGGGGGAAAAAAAGCAGCATGGGGAGGGAAGTAGGCCGCACGAATGAGTGCTTTGGTTTCAAGGGAAAATGCAAAGGGGAACAAAAAAAAAAAAAAAAAAAAAAACGAACACAAAACCGCCTCTCCTTATTTTTGTTTGCTTTGCTGACAGCATGGCTTGCCGACACTGCCCCCGCCCCCCCCCACACACACATACACACACAGACACACGGCTAGATGCGGGCTTCTATGAGGATGTAGACACAAGCCGTGCATAATGGCAACTCCCTTCTTCTGTTCGTATTTCTTTTTTGTTTTTTCTTCTTTTTTTTTGATTCAAAGTGCCATCACAACACTCGAAAAACGGGACTTCACGCCTCCCGCGCTTGCACGAAGGACAATGAACCCACCGCTTTGCCACTTCACCACTCGCCAGTTGCATGCATTCGCTGCAAGTTGAAGCGGGGCGGCTGCAACACACGCACTGCGAGCGAGAACAGCAACAAACGAGCAGATCTAAAAAAAAAAAAAAAAAAAAAAAAAAATGTACGCAACAGAGCCAAAACCTGCCTTTCTGTATCGCAAAGTCATCGGCGACCCCGCCTCCTCACAGCGCGCAATGAGGATGCAAACGAACAGAACAGCAATGAATGGGCGCTTTCACCAAGAGTCGCAGCGGCAGGAGTAATAACAGCGACCAAGAGCAACCAAAAAGTAAAAATAAAAAAAAAAAAATAAACGCATTTTGCAGATCAAAAAAGAACCGCGAACCGCCCGAGCTTAAACAGAGACCAGCTGTGACGAGGGGTGGTTGAAGGAAAGGGGGAGGGAGGGACACGATGATAACTCACGCATGTTGCCAGTCGACGCAGCGTCAACGGCGCAGAACAGCGCAGCAACAGCAAAAAGCAGCGCTGCAGTTCGCATTGGAAATCGAAAGGAAAAAAAAAAAAATAAAAAATAAAAAGAAATAGACAAAAAAAAAAAAAAGAATGACTCGTTCGTCGTTGCTCAACTTGAAATCGCAATGTAATGTTGTGAAACGAAAAAATACCCCGCAATTGTAGACCACAGATGACGATAGGAAGGAATAGCAACGATGAAAGGAAACAGTGGCACAACGCAACGAAAACCCAGTGCGAAGAGAAAGAGAAGCTTGGCTCAACTCGCTCGACTGCAAACGGATTTGTGCCGTCTCAACCGACTCCCGTCAAACCAATTCACGAGCTCAAACTAGAACTACAGTAGTCACGTCAAATACACAGCAGCGGCAGCAGCAGCGTATATCTGGGAACAACGGCTTGGTTCAATTTTGTTTGACATGGATTCTGACACCAAGGAACTTTGCCCAGAACTCTGAATAAATACAGCAACAACCCCACTGAAGCGAACGCGCGATCAAAACCGGACATTGGGAAAGCGCGTCGTCCACTCGCACTCGGAGTCGTTCGATGCAATCGAAACAAGCTGCATCGCGGCCTGCATGGCAAGAACCTGCTGGTGCTTCTTCATGTTGAAATGCTGGCTTGTCGAGTGCCAGTGCTCGTTGTGCTCCCACATGTGCTGCAAGCATACGCACAGTTACACCACTCAAGTGAGATTCATTCTCGACCAGATCTACCGAGCTGCATCAAGCACGAGCATATACACACCTTGTGCAGGCTGTTGCGCTGCTTGTAGATTTTGCCGCAGTTATCGCACTTGAAAATCTGGTCTGATTCGCCGAGCACCGTCAGTTCTTCGACGTGGTCGTCCAGTTGCAGTTGGACCACGCGATGCACAGGCGGAGGCGATGTCCGAAACGACGAAACGGAGGAGGAAGACACGGACGACACTGCGGACAGCTGATGCTGCCCTTCCGAGCTAGGAGAAGACATGGTCGAATGCCTGGAACTCGCAACTTGGTCTAGCAACAGCGGGGTTGTACTTGGCTCCTCCTCGTGCTCATCCTGATCGGCCGGGGAGGTCCAACCGTCAGCAGTGTCGCCGCGAATCCATCTTTCGCAGCGCTCCTGGCGCCATGTGCGATAATTGGCGTCGTGGTGAAGCTTGTGGTTGGAGATGTTTGTTTCTTGCTTGTGTGCATCAGAAGGTTCACTGTCAAGGGCACGCGAGAACAACAACACTTGAGCGAAGAAAACCAGAGCAGTTTTAAACCAGCTCTGACGCCATTTCCCACACATGGTTTTGTTGAGCACTCCCATGCAATGACATGACTCGCGCACGCACAAAATGCGGCGTCGGAGGAATTCACATGTTCGTCGGAGGTGCTGACAAAAGAGGAGCAAATGAACGCTCCTCGCTTCGTTCCTCAGATTCCTCTTCCTTGCTCCCCACTCTCTAGTGTCGCCCCGTCATGCCACTGTGGTTGGCTCACAAAGCGCACAAGAACCAAGCAAAATCATGTCTGCTCTTTGGTGCCTGTTGCCATCGCCATTTCAGCCAGAAAGTAGGATCAACCCACGGGTTTGCCGAGCCAAAGAAAAAAAAAACACACACACACAAAAGGGATCACTTACACCTCCATCGACGACTGTGGTACGTCGTTCTTTTCTTTGATGCGACGTAGAGCTTCTTGCTCGAGCGACAGACGACCATCCGCGGTCGATGCGAATCGAGCAGTTTGCTCAACGCGTTCAACACCGATCAATGGAAGCGCGGTGAGGGGCATTCACGAGAACGGCGTCTCCTTGTACGAGTGTCCAAGCCACGAATGCAAAGGCTCGTTGTCACGAAGGAACGAAGGCAACGAACAATAAAAACGAGAATCTCGACAGAAATCAAGAGTGGCGCTTCCCCAAACCCTTTCCTTTGCTTCGTGGTGGTTGCGTGGGAAGTGACACACGTCTTGTCGTTTTCTTTTCTTAGTTCCTAATTGAAGCAAAAGGTGACCAAATTGTTTTGGTGGGTTTGAGCCATGTCACACGTTTCTGAGCCGACAAGATGTTTCAGGCTTGTTGCAAACAGCTTTTTTACACATATTTCTTTGTCATTCCTACTCGTACATGACACCCGCCCACGTCTACTTGGAGTCTTTTTGTTGTTCTGTTGTGATCATGTGAGAGTACGTGTGTGCTTTCTTCCTCTCTCTCTCTCTCTGTCTCTCTCTCTCTCTCTCTTGATGTGCTCGTTCGCTGAGAATTGTGCGAAATACACTCAACCATTCCCGCGTGTGCTGTTCCGCCCTCCGTAATGACTGTACTTTACTGTTTCCTATACTTACTCGAATGCCAGCTCACTCTTTACATTCACCCTTTTGTTGATTTGATTCCAAGAAATGAAGGCAGTTGTGCTTGGCGGAACGGGCGCGTGCGGAAAAGCCATTCTCGCGTCGCTTCTCTCGAGCAGCGCAGTCGAGCGCGTCGTCACCATCGGCCGGTAAAAACTTGCTCAATAACAAACAATCCCGCCATTGTCCAATTTGCACTATGTCGTTGGATGCTCGTCGGATGCTCGGGGTGCTTGGTACAACGCAACGTTTGTCATCACAAATTTCAGCTTTCGACTGGAACCCTTCACCTGCATGCCCCAGCGACTGGACCATTTTTTTTTCATCCTCACTTCATGCTTGAATGATTTTGGTGGTTGATGGGCTGCACACAGACGCCCTGTCACGGTGCCCGACCAGGCGCAGCTCGAGCAATCGGGCAAGCTCGTTCAAGTCACCACGGAGATGGCTGCGATTGCGCAGGCCGAGGACGCGTTCAAGGGCGCCGATGTCGTCATGTGTGCATTTGGCACCACCCGCAAGCAAGCAGGCTCGGCCGTAAGGATCATGCACAGAGTTGCATTTGAACCGGAACCTCACTCCAACCTCACTCCGACCTCACTCCACACCTCGCTCAAACCTCGCTCCAAACCATCCATCGGGATCACTTCAAAATGCTCACAATTGTGTGGTCTATGTGTCACCTTGTCCTTGTTGCTGCTTTTCTTTTGCTTTTTGCTTTTTTGCAGGAGGCCTTCAAGAAGATTGATCAGGAATACGTTGTTGCCGCCGCTGCGACTGCCAAGCGCGCCGGCGTGCCGCACTTTATGTACATTTCGTCGCACGGCGCGAGTGCGTCGTCCTGGTTCTTGTACCTGCAGTCGAAAGGCCAGACCGAGAACGGCATCATTGCGCAAAAGTTTGACAAGGTCTCCATTCTGCGTCCTGGCCTGCTCGACCGCGGCGACGAGAGTCGCTTTGTCGAAAAGTTTGCCATGGTGTTTACATCTGGCTGCAAGACGACCACCATCGGCGAAGCCATGCGTGAGCTCGCGGCAGCGTATCTGACCGACAAGGCCTCGAGCGGCGACGCTGTGCAGTATGTGGACGACGCGACCATCCGTCGTCTTGGCAAGCAGTAGGGTCGGAACTTGTCTGTGTTGGTGGATTTGTCTCCTTTGTTCGAGTGCGCGCGCTCTACTGTATTTACCGCAAGACGCGACCTCCCGTTGCAGCATTGCTCAAGTGCTCGTCGTCTCTTTGATTGAACGGCGTGCTTTGTTACTTGTTCAAAACGTCGGCTTGTTCAAAGATCAAACTCCTTTGTTTTTTGTTGCTTCAACTCACTGCTCTCAATGTTAAATCGGTAAGAATGCGACAAACATTTCGTTTTCTACCAATTGCTTCTAATTCAATCTCAGAACAGAATTTCAATTCTCAGATTTTCAATCTTTTTTTTTTTTCCTCTTTTCCATTGTTCTTCCTTCTTCTTCAACTCACCCCCTTCTTCAACTCAACTCACCCTCAACTCAATCGCACCAGCTCCCCTAAGAATGCGATCTCACGGACTGCACTCGAGCGCGCCGCCGCCAATGCAGCCGCCGAGCAAGAGCAACAAGGGCGGGAGCGCTGCGGATCAGTCAGCTGCGTTTGCATCGACGCTGGCGAGCACACTGACTGCGAGCAGCACTGCGACCACTGCGGCGACTGCTGCTGCAATGCACACGCAGCTCGCTCTGGCCGGGGCTGCCCTGCGCGAGGAGGGCGCTGCGAACGACCGGATGCGTCGCCTGCTCACCGAGCTCACCGCCACCAACGACGCCATCCAGACGCGCGTCTCGCGGTGCCTCGCAGACTACTGCGACATGCGCCTCGCAGTCCAGCAGGTCGCGCTCGCCATCGCGCCGACCAGCCGCTTTGCCAAGCCACTCGACCAGACCGAGCTCTACGGCGACGGCGTCTCCACCGCCCCTGGGTTGTCGTCGAGTGGAACAACGAGTCCAGCGGCGGCCGCGGCGGCTGCTCATGCTGCTGCTGCTGCTGCCAGTGGTGGTAGTGCTGGTGCTGGTGGTGCATCGGGACGTGGGACGACAACCACAACCACAACCACAACCACCCCGACGAAGCCCGCTGCTGCTCCATCAGTCACCGAGGACGAGCGGCGCAAGTCAAAGCTCGTGCAGTGGGGCGCGTCCACAACCGAACGCGTCGCTCTGCTCATCACTGCAGACGCTCTGCTCGAGAGCAGCAAGGGCACGCCGGAGGACATGATTGGGCAGACGCGAGCGCTCGCGCAAGTCACTGCGCTGCTCATCAACCGCATCAAGACGAACGCTGCCGCGACTTCCAACAACGAGCAGCAGCAGAGACGACTGTCGCATGCCAAGATGCTCGCAGACGCAACCTCAAAGGCAGTCAACGCTGCCAAGCATGTGGCCAAGGCGATGGGAGATCCCGCACAGACCCAGTCCCTTGCCGATTCCATCTCTGCCCTTCGCTCCACCGCTGCTCTTCTCGAAGAGGAAGAAAATGTTGAGCTCAAGGAACGGGCGCTGCATCGTGTGCCCCCGTCGAGACTGTCGACGATCGTGCAGGGATCGGGCAACCAGCCACCTCCCATTGTGCCGTACGCTCAGGCTGTGGCCGCTAGGGTAAGCGTTGCGTTGAAGCCAAAGAATCAAAACAAAAAAAAGATTGTGGATCAGCTCACTAATATGTCCTTTTTCAATGGTTTTGCGCGTCATGCATGGTAATTTTCTGTTTCTTGCTTGCTTTTTGGTGCTCTGTGTCCAACCACCACAGCAACAGCCACCGCCCCAGCAACAGTCTGCAGCCGCTATCACTCGCAGCGGCTCTAACGCTGGAGGTACCCGTGGCCTGGTTCGCATTTATGATTCGAGCATCCAAAACAAGCAGGCCGAATTCAAGGGTTTGATGCTGGGTGCCTCAACGACCGCACTTGAGACCATTGCTCTGGCGCTCCAAAAGTACGGGTACGATGAATCGCCCGAGCTGTTTGCCTTGTCTGAAGTCAAGACCGATGCTGGTGGTAAGTTGCTTGACATTTACATTGGTTTGTCATTGCTTTGTCCGACCATGGCTTGTGTTTTGGACCAGTTCGCGAACGTGTCCTCACGAACGAGGAAACGCCTTTTACGATCAAGCAAGCGTGGGAAGAAAGCAACCCGCCGGACAACCTGCGCTTCTACCTCAAGCGCAAGAAGGGCGAGGTAAGCGCGCTCCACTCACCCACTCTGACGATCATGATGTTTTGGGGGTCGGGTTGTCGTAATTGTTTGTATTCACTGTCTTTGCTGACAGGCGAGCGATGGCAAGGGTGTCGTCCGCGTGTATGCCGGCATGCTCAAATCCGCCGTCGAATTCAAGACGGTCCCGGCGTCACTTGCAACGACCGTTCCGGAAGTCATCAAAGCCGCTCTCGGCAAGTTTCAAATCAAAGACGATCCCGCCAACTTTACGCTGCTGGAAGTGCAGATGCACCGTGGAGGTACGACATCGACACAGGCTTAGTTTTTTTGCATAAAAACAAAAAACAAAAAACGTTGCATCTCGTGCTCACCGCCTTGATCCAGTCATTGAGCGACCTTTGGACAAGACCGAGTGTCCGTTCGCTCTCAAGCTTCAGTTCCAAAAGCAAGGCGTCACAGAGGACATGGTTCGCTTTTATCTTCGCAAGAACAAGGTGCGGGCTGGTTTTTTTTTTGGTTTTTTTTTTTGCTTGTTGTAGTGTTTCCAAACACGACAACATCTGGCCGTTTGCTAAGTTTCGATTGCATGGCTGTCCGTTGCCATCTCTAGCTGCAAACCGGCCTCGAAAAGGCGCCCATTCGCATCTGGGCTGGCTCTGGTGTGCACAAGACAACGTCCGAGTTCAAGAGCATTTTTGTCTCCAGCATGACCCAGGTTCCTGCCGTTATCAAGATGGCCCTGGACAAGTTCATGATGTCCGAGACGGGTGGTCAATTTGCGCTCATTGAGGTTCAGAACGGCAGTACGTGATCCTTTTGCCAAGCCAAGTTTTGCCAAACGCATGATTTGTTTCCGTACTCACCCTCTGCCCAAACACAAAACACAGTGAAAGAGCGAGTGATGAACGACTCAGAGTGCCCACTTGCTACCATCCTTGCTCTGGAGAAACGCGGCTTTACCAGTGGCACGGCGCGTCTGTACCTCCGGCGCGATGACACTGCTGCCGCTCAACTCGCGCCGTCGTCTCCGGGCAATGACGAACGCGCGGCTCGCGAGCAAGAAATGTGGCAAGTCATCCGAGGCACGGACGAGAACAATTACTGCGCCGACTGCAACGCGTCAGGTAAGTTGTCAATATTTTTTTGTTTCTTCTGCAAACATTTCTGTTTTTTCCTTGTCTTGTACTCAGCGCCGCCTCCTTCACCCCCCCCCCACACACACACACTATTTTTGCTTGCTTAGATCCGCAATTTGTTTCAATCAATCTTGGTGCCGTTCTGTGCCACAAGTGCGCATGCGTGCACAATGCCCTCTCCGCGCCGTTTTGGGAGAGCGCTGCAGTCAACTTTGAGGCTGAGCTTTCTAGCGGCAAGTTCTTTTCCAAGATTCGAGCAGTCACGCACTCGTCATGGTCGGCCGAGTTTATCAAGCTGTTCCAAGGCGTTGGCAATGCCATCGTCAACCAGACGTATGAGCATGGCATGATTTACTCGTTGGACATCTCCAAGCCACTCCCCGACGCCGCAGAGTAAGTGACAGCTCCTTCAGATGCTGGAATTAATGTTAATGCTGGCGGTGTCTTGGCCTCACTGTCTGCCTTGTTACAGCGACGAGCGCCAAAAGTTCATCTCGGCAAAGTATGTGGACAAGGCGTTTGTCGAGGCCTATCTGTCTGCTGTTGACCAATCCGACCCTGACTCGGCTGAGTCGGATACCAAGCACGCCGACGCGTTGCAGCGCGCCATGTCACGGGTACGCGGCGATGGATTGTCGCCTGGTTGTGTTGTTTCGTTGTTCAATGGAGGATTTTTCAAAAAAATTGCTCACCTCATCTCTTGCTTCGACTTTGAGCAGGATTTGTTCCTTGCCTGTGAAGGCGGCGAAGTGGTGCAAGTGATGCGTTTGATTGCACTTGGCGCCAACGTCAACTTTGCTGCGGTCGACAAGGACGCGCAAGCAACGCCCAATCCCGTTGTTACGACGGCAGGCTCGACTCCCTTGCACGTTGCGAGCAGCAATGGCTATGGTGCCATCGTCACGTTGCTGCTTGAAGCGGGCGCGTCGCCTGTGGCTGCTGACTGCGATGGCAACTCGCCGTTGTACTATGCCGAACTGTCAAAGCATGCTGACATTGTGACAATCCTCTCCGAGCGCCAACAGGCGCACCATCTCAACCACCGTTCCGTGATTGCGGATGCTTCGAAGGTATGTGTGTGTTTGCTTCGATCTGGTTGTAGTTTGTCCACTTGTCTCTCATCCGGCATCCACCCCGATTTCTTCCGACAGGCGAAATTGATGTCGCTTTCGCACTTTGACTTTAGCGACTTGTTCGCGGATGTGCTGTCGGAAACGCAAGACCGTCATCTCAGCAACGTGCGGGGCAAAATGGTGCCCAACTCGAACGTGAACGCTGGTCAGCGCGAAGGTCGCCGCAAACTTGCCATGCTGGATGATGCTCAGTTTGCGCCGCTCGCCAAGAACGTGTTCATGGAAGTCGATTCTCGCCAACGCGAGCTTGTTGCGCGTGTTCGCACTGCCATCCAGGAGGCAGCCTCCTCGGAGCCTGTGACTTCGGAACGCCTGTCGCAGATTGCGCAATACCAGACGGACGAGCGTGAGCGTGCACAGCGAGCTGCTGCTGACTCGGATACGCTGATGGAAGAACTCAAGGCAAACAAGGCCAAACGTCTGAGCGCGCTGAGCAACTCGTCCGTGTCGCAGTCCCTTCCGCCGCCGCAGCCGCTGGCCACTGTCGGTGATGAAGACGATAGCAGCGCGTCGGGATCCAATCTGATGTTTGTCCCCTCGATCAGCAACGAGGACATTTACGCCGATCCCGACCTGACTCCAAAGCCCACGCCTGTGGCTCCCCCGCGGCGCAGTCACGCAGCCAAGGCTGCTTCTGCTTCTGCTGCGCCCAAGCCGTCAGCCCTTTCGTCGTCGTCGTCGGCAGTGCCCGAGCCTACTGCCGCTACGCCAAAGTCTACGGCATCATCTGCTGTACCCCCTGCTGCACTCTCATCCAAACCCTCTCCGTCCACACCCGAATCGCAACCAGAGCTGTCCATTGAAGACGAGATTCGCTTGCTCGAGCAGCAAGAGCGCTCCCGCATCGAGCGTGAACTCACGGAGCCCACTGAAGCCGATCAAGCCAAGCTTCAGCGCGAGCATGACGCTGCGGTTGAAGCACAGATGGCTGCTCGACTGCGCAAGGAACGCGAGGCATTAGCTGCCTTGCAAAAGGAACAGCAAGAGCAGCAAGAGCGAGAAAAGCTTCAGCGCGAGGAACAACAGCGTGAGCAACTTCAGCGCGAACAACAAGAGCGAGAACGGCTTCAGCGCGAGCAACGCCAACGTGAACAAGAGCAACGCGAGCAGCAAGAGCGAGAACGGCTTCAGCGTGAGCAACTCCAACGTGAGCAGGAGCAGCGTGAGCAACAAGAGCGCGAGCAACAGGCGCGCGAACAGGAGCAACGCGAACAGGAGCAACGCGAAAAGGCGCAGCGCGCACTCGAGCAAAAGAAACGCGAGCAGGAGGAACTGCTCGCCGTTGCCGAAGAAAATCGCCGTCAACACGAAGAGGCAATGAACCTGCACCGTCAACGCCAGGAAGAAGCCCGCGCGATTGCTGCCTCTCGTCCCACCTCTGTTGCCCACAAGCCCACGCCCGCCGAACAGCCTCGTGCGCAACTTGAGCTTCAACACAAGCGCGATGAGGAAGAGCGCCTCGCCGAGCTGCAGCGAATTGAGGCTGAGCACGCGAAATTGGAGCAACGCCTGTCTGCTCGCAAGTCGCAGCTGGAAGCAGCCAAGAACGCTTCTGCCGCCGGGAACAAGGCAGTCGCCGACGCTCAGGTTGCCGTCGTTCAGCAAGCTCAGGTTGTCACCGCGGCCGTGGCCACGTTCTTGGCCGCGGCGAAGGCTGTGCAGCACGAGCAGTTTGTGGAAAAGTGCTCCGATCTCATTCGCAAAGCTGCCACTCTGGTGAACCTTGCGGATGCCCTCACGACGCAGTACACCTCGGATGAGCACCGTGTTGCCGTGCAAGCCAAGGCCACCGCTGTGTCGGGTACCTTTGCGCCCATTGTCGCGGCCAGCAAAGCCGCTGTCCAACAGTGCGCAGCGGGCGACAACTCGAGTGTGCAACCCATGGTTGTCGCGACCTTTGAGCTTCTCAAGCAGACGAAAGATCTGTTGTCTGTCAGTCGCGATGTGTCTGGCACCTACGTAACCACACAGTAAAACTGGAGCGGAGGAGTGAGTTGTAGGTTGTTGTTTTGGTGTTTGCGTGTTTGTCCTGTTGTGTGTGCCCCCGTGTTTGTATATGTGATTGGTGGTTCGCATGCTACATTTGCTTGTTCAGTTTGATGCAGTGTTTTGTCTCTCGTCCAACAATGAAGTCGCCATTTAATCAAGAAAATCGTTTATTCAGCAAAAAACAAAAAAAAAAAAAAAAAAAGCAAGGTTGTTAAAAAATACAGAGCATTAACAGACAATCAAATTGCAACAGAGGAAAGCCTCCGACAGCTTCCCAAAATCAAACAAAAACAAGTCAATCCACCAACAAACAAAACAGAAATTCAAAGCTATCTCAATCACATAAAAAAAAACGAAATCACAAGTCGTCCCGCTTCACCACGTCCAGTTTAACGTTAAAACCGTGGCCAGGGAGATCTGCATCGATGCCTTTTCGCTCTGCCGATGTAGGTTTCTTTTGCATGTGCAGATGCCCGGCGTGGGCAGTGTCGTCCAACCCAAGCTCGGGGTTGTCGGGCTGAGACTTGTCAATCATCATGTGCAGCGCGTGCATTTCCCTCACATCCATGACGCGATACTTGTCGGGACAGTGGTGTGCAATTTCAGCGTCGTGTGCAAGCAGGAGCCAGCGCAAATGCTCGGAGGTCGGTGTGTGGTGGATGGTGCCCTTGAGACATTTCGGCTCAATCAGCCGATCGTAGTACCGGTGGAAAGCCATCATACAGACCGTTGTGCACGGAATCAAATGTCCGTGTCGGTAGCAGGCAGCGTGGTATGCTTCACGCAACTCTGTGACTTCGCACTCGGCATTCATGAAAATGGCCAGCTCGCGCTCCTCCTCCGCCCATGGTGGCTCCAGGCCTTCCCAGTGCTTCTCTTGGTAGTAGAGAATCGGAGGCTCCTTGTTTTCAATGTCCCACCGCTTGAACAAGCCCTCTGGCGGCTCGCGACCCTCGAACTGGGAGTGGTGCAGGCGACGCTCGATAATGTCCATGACGGTCATCAGGTTGCCGTCCTCGTCAATCTCGCGCCCAAGCTCGTCGAATTTGGCAGCGTACAACTTGCCGTGCCTATCGACGTGAGTGTGTGCTTGGCCTCCAAAGTGTCTGTCGCCAAACTGCAACTCGTCCAGCTCGTCTTCATGAACTTGCTCGGCCGTGTGCTGTCCAGGTGAGATTCCCTCGGCCTTCAAACGCTCGATTTCTTCGGGTGAGATGTGGTGATGCTTAAACATGCGGTAGTTTGGGTCGTCTTTTCCGTTCAGCGGGTTGGCGAGCTGGAGTCTTTCTGCAAATTCCTCGTCCGACAAGGACGCGAGCTCTTCCGCGGTTTCAATGTCGTTCTTGACGTTGGACTTGTGTGGGTTGCTGTTGTTGTTGTTGTCGTCGTTACCATTGCGGGAGGTGCCAGCAGAAGAAGAAGTAGTTTCGGTCTGGGTTTCGTGACGATCGTTGTTGCGTTTTTCAGATGAATCATGATGATGGACATGCTCGTGATGATGATGCGCCTCGTGCTCCTCTTCATTGTCGTCGTCGTGATCATCGCCAAGCACGCGTTGATGATGCGGATGCAAGTGCTGCACGCGCGGCTGGCTCTTCCTTCTTTGGACCAGTGCATCGGCAGCAAACGCAAGTCTTCGTGCCCGCGCCGCCGCCACGTCGACCCTCGCACAGTATCCACGTCTGCATCATTGTCCACGACGCTTGAATCTGACGAGTCTCGCGGTTGAATTCCAGCAGCAGCAGCGCGGTTTTGGCTCGAGTGATCGTCACTCTGGACGGCTGCTGCTCGGACGCCACTGCTTTCGGCAAACGCCAGCAACATCAGCATCAGCATTGCCAATGCAACGGCCATCCATGCGAGCTGTGCGGCTGGCTTCAGAGTCGCTGCCCTGTGGTTTGGCCGCCGCGTCGAACGGGTCTCGAGCGAGTTCTCGACCACCGGGCCGCGAACGCCTTGAAAGGCCATATCAGAGCGGCCAGCCACGTCGATGCGAGGCTGGTCGGTGGATGGGTGCGGTGGACGCGACGTCGGTGCAATGCCGGGTCGCTTGATTGCTGCAGAACGACTGCACTGGGACGGAATGGTCGTCGGATGGCTGGAGCGGACTTGTGTGCGACGCGGCTCTGGCTCAGGCTCAGGCTCAGGACGACGATGGCTGCAATGAGGAAGTGCCGGAAGGGACAGTTCGAGGGTCGAGCGTGCGCGCGGACGACGAGTCGGTCGGCGAGGTGCAAACTCGTCCATTTCCCCACCAGGTCGAACAGGTCGAACAGGCGATTCACAACAAGCGAGGGGAATATGAAACAGGAAGAGGACTGAATGATGCAACAAGCAATGAGATGAACGGGATTTTCGGGATGCACAACGGGGGCATGGAATGAAAACGTAGGCGCCGGTTTGTATTCACATCAACAACAACAACAACAACTCAAACGCAACGAACGATGCTGTGTTACTCCTTGATGAAAATGTACATGTACGCGGCACCCACCGGAGGAGAAGGATCCAGAGCAACCTTGTTGTCGTTGAAGAAGACCCACTGGCCGTCTTTGAGAACATGGGCGACATAATGCCCGCTGTGGACGGAAGGGCCCTTGTGTGTGACAAGGCCGGCGAGGTGGTACACGGGCTTGCGCTGATTGCCGAGCACTGGAAGTGCCGTGGCGGCTGTGAAGAAGGGGGAGTGGAACCGGCATATTGTGAGTGGAACGCAGCCACCAAAAAAACAAACCAAAAAATAAAATAAAAACAGCATCAATTTGACAAACTCTCACCTGCTGCTCCGTCAGACGTGTCCATCGCAACTTCGTCTCCAGTCACATCGGGATGGCTAAAGAGCCAGTCGACCGCGCGCTCCGCGTTTCCTCCCTGAGGGTTTTGCGTTGAAGGAGGCGAAAAGATTGAGCAATGTGCGCCTGAAACACTCAAAAACCTTGCAACTGCAACTTACAGTCTCCTTCAATGCTCGGATGGCCTGCGCGCGGGAAAAGCCCATATCAGCGAGCATGCTCACTTGGTTTTCATCAACAGCCACGTTCGCAGGGTTTGGCGCAGACGCAGTCACCAAAGGCGTGTCGATGTCTGCACGGAAAAACGTTCGTCGTTCACCCAAGTCAGAACCAACTCCCCTCCCGTTCGAAAACCTACAGAAAGAGTACATACCAGGATCTTCCATGTGCTCGAGGAGCCAGTTCATGGCAGGCTCGACGCCAGCGTTCTGAACAGCAAGAGCTGCCTTCTGGGCACGAATGACCGGGAAGCCGAAATCTTGCAACTGGCTGACAATGGCTGCATCAAACTGCGGGCCAGCGGGTGCCGAGGCAGGCGCAGCCGCCTGGCCTTCGGGAAGCGCGTGCTCGTCAGCCGCGTGCTCCCCAGCCAAGAATGCAGAAAGATCGATTGTTTCAGGCACTTGGAAGTCAATGTCTGCGCATACAAGGGAAAATGAATGGATACCAAAAAAAAAAAAAACCCCCCCCCCTCCTCCTTGGTTGTCACACACAAAACGCCGCGCAAAGTGCTCGATGCACACTGCGACGCTTACCCAGCTTGCGCGGAACCCAGTCTTCGTACACGAAACGCTTGGCATTCAAGACAAGAACTTCCGGCGTCGAGAGGAAGCGCTGGCGCTTGGAGGCTCCGGCGGGCTGCTGGCCGCAGGTCGGGCAGCGGAATTCCACCATTTCGTCGGCAGTAAAGAGAGCAATACTCTCGTCGAAAGTGGCCCGCTCTTTAGGCATGGGTGGGAGCTTCTTGGGGTCCTTGCTGGTGGTGGTGCTGGCTGAGGCCGCATCTGGCTTGGGTTGCTCGGACTCGGGCAGGGCATGACGGACGAGCGGGACCGAGACCAAATTCGAGTTGGCGCGAGAGTACCGCACTCCATGGCAAGTTTGACACTGAAGGCGCTCCTCGAGTGTAAAATCAAACACGTAGGACGGCAGACGACCCTCGGACACAGTGCCGAGTCGAACGCGCTCTTGCTGCTCGAGCTGAGTGCAAAAGTACTGGAAAAACTCGAGCGCATCCTGCTGCCTCATCGTCGCAAACTCGGGATGGTCGGCGCCAATCAGAGACTTGAACATGAGCGGACGAATGCCCTGCTGCCCTCGCGCAAGCTCGTCGTAACGAGCACGCTCCTCGGTCGAAAGCGCAGCAAGAGGGGCAGGGGCGGCATCGCCAGTAAGGGTAACCTCAACTGGAGGGGCCTCGGGAGCCGCTGCGCTTGCGGCGCCAACGACTGGAGTCGGGGCAGGCTTTGCGACGGAATACTTGCCGCTCCAGAGGCCCTCGGCAAGCTTCTCCATTTGGCACGGGAAGCACTTCAGGTGGCTTTGCTGCTGGCAAGCCAAGCGGTGCTCGAGAGCCGCCGACGGTGGGCAGTACGTCTGGCGGAACGTTGGCAAGGAGAAGATGACTTGCATGACCGACGCCATGTAGCAGCTGCAGTTATTTTTTTTGAAGGCGGGGGGGGGGGAATTGAGTGTTTGAGGCCAAAAGCGCAATTTCACGAAAAAAAAAATTCACATACCTGTTGCCCAAGTTCTCAAGACCAGTCAGACCATTGCCATAGACGGGAGTCAGGGGCTTGCCGTCGACGGTGGTCATGCTAAAGTCAAACTACGATCGAAACAAAACAAAACAAGAAAGGGAAAGCAACACAAACAAACAGCAGAGCGAACATAATATCAGACACAATTCGAATCTTGCAAACAAACTCCTGTGGACACAATCGGAGAAAAGCACACTCCGTTTGCTGGCGGAGAGTGGGTTAGGCACGCGGGAGAAGAGCAAGCACACACACACACACACACACACGCAGACACCCGGCAAGGCACCCCTTACCCCGCGTGCCTTGTTCCGTTTCCGCTTTGCCTTCTTCCCTTCGCCCTTGACGGAAGTGGCAGACGATGATTTGTTTTTCTGTTGCTTTCCACCGCCTCCTGGACTACCGAGAAGCAGATACCGATTGCCATTTACTGTTCGCGTTTTGCGCTGCCCGGATGCGTTTGGGTTGCCGGGACGACGCCCTTTGCCGCCAACTTTGGTCTTTGGGGTTTGCCACGCCGCCTCGTTTGTAGATTTTGAGCTAGAGTCAGTGCTGGGCATTGCTGCAAGGGATGCCGCCAATTCACTGTCGTCCTCGCACATCAAGCTCAAGGCGAGGCTCAAGCTCGCCTGCTCTTCGGCATCGATGGGTGGTGGTGGTGGTATTGCGCTGATGACTGTGTTACGACTGTTGCTGCTGCTGCTGCTGCTGCTGCTGCTGCTGCTGCTGTCAACCTGCCTTCGCTTCGCAGTGCTTTGCGATTGCTGTTGCCGAGACGCGTTGCCGTTCTCGTTGCCGTTCTCGTCTCCACTCTCTCCCTCATCCTCAAAATCCCCCACACTTGGGGCGCTATATTCAGTCATTTCACCCACCTTCAGATTGCGCTCCAGCTGAAGCTCAGTCGTGGTCTTCTCAGTGACTTGCCGATCGCCCAGCTCAATGCCAAAGTGCCGCAAGTGCTGAGCCAGGTGCGGGTCGAGTCGCGTTTCGTCGCACGTGTAGCAGTAAATGTCTGCAGTGCCCTCGGCAGTGATGGTGCCCATCTTGCAGACGACACCATGCTTGGTGGACGCAAAGTGGTCGACAGCGTGGTTGTTGCCGCCAGTGCCGTCATAGTTGCGGCGACCGCAGCCCAAGTGGCCGCACGCCAAGCACAGCCACAGGTTGGAGTTGATGCTGCATTCGTTGCAAGTGGCAAGGGACTTGCCAGCGAGCGGCGCATCGCGTGCAAGTTGGTCGAGCTGGCGGGTGTGCTGGCAGGCTTCAATCTCCAGCTCCCAGGCCTTGACCTCGGCGCGCTTGTCGCCCGACTCGGCAGCCATAATCGACGACGCGGTGGAGGTGATGGCCGGCGTGACGGCCGGATCAAACAAGGACACTTCGGGAAAGTTGCACACAAAGCATCGAACATGCCACGAGAAGGTGTACTTTTGCTCGCTGGCCTCTGCGCCTCCCGCCACGCCGATGGCGAGCTTGGTGATTTTGGCGGGTGCATCTGCCTCCGGAGCCTGTGACAAGGGCATGATGATTTTGTGGTGAGTGCACAAAAGTGGTGGCAGCACGAGAAAACCGGTCCTCCAGACAGTGCGCAGTCGCCTCTCAAACAAAAGCCTGGGTGAGGCAGTGAAAAAGGGTTTTACCTGAACGGGCGTGCGCTTGATGACGAGTGCGAGCGGGTGCGCTTTGGCAGCGGCGTGGACGGATCCGTGCTTGTCGCACTCTGGGTTGAAGCAGTGCAGACAGACCGAGATGCCACTTGCATCATCCTGCAGACCACAGAAACAGAAACAGCAAGTTGCAATCAAAGTGAGTGAATGAGTTTACACACGATGAGAAGTAGTTTTTTTTTTGGCGGGAAAAAAACCGGGTTGCTGAGAATTTGAGACTGACAGGCTGAGAAATTTGCAAACAACCCTCGCTTCACCTTCACGACGGTACTTTACTCCATCAACTCAGAGGCAACTCGACTCACTGCGTCACACTGATGCACTCACATACACTGACGCACTCACTCACTCAGTCAATCGAACGCACTCAAACGCACTCACTTCACCTCGCCCTCACTCCACTCCACTTCACTCCACTCATACGCACACAATAATCACAACGTCGGGGTCGTCTTGCGGGGTGGTCGCCCCCCCCCCCCTCCCATTGCATGCATGCAGCAGGTCATCAAAAACGCATCGACACAGTTTAAAGACCGCGTTTTGGCTGGACTCTCGAGCAACAATCGCCAAGCTGAACAGAGCGAACGCAACGAACGAACGGACGAACGCCACTCTCGCGCATCGAGAAGCAGCAGGAGTGGATACCGACGACGACGCAGAGTAGGAGGAGGAGGAGGAGATGGAAAAACGAGCAGAGATCGCGAGTATTGCTCGGCCACAGTCACAAAGTCATCACAAGTCATCATGCATCAATGAAACACGGACAGACCTGGTTGTTAAAGCACTGCGAGCACTCTTCCTTGAAGACGGACGTGCCGCGGGCGAGCGTCGCAGCGCGATACGAACGCAAATGCGGACACGACGAAGCCATTGTAGATTGAATGACGAAAGCAATCGAAGAGAAGGAAACAAAAAAAAAAAAAACTAAGACTGAACAAAATGTTGAACAAAACGTTGAACACAAATGGGATTGACTGCCACCAAGACAGCAAGACAGGACGCCTACACCCAACCATGTTGGTGTCAGAATACGAGTAAAGCCAACGACACATTTGCGCTTGTCTTCCTCTTACTCTTTGCACTGGCGTCGCTCCTTCTCTTTGTGGGTTTTATTGGGCTTTGGAAGCAGGTTCGCTCTCCAATGAACGTAATTCCACTCCATCAGTGACATTCAAAAGCAGAGGCGTCGACGATATCATTCATACTATTTTTGTCAACATTTTGTTATTGTTTTGTTTCATTGTTTTTTGTATTTTTTTTCCTTCCGCACCAAACCCCGACCACCACCACCACCACCACCACCACCACCACCACCACCACCACCACCGCAAGAATCAATCCACTGCTCTCTTTCGATTGTCCCGCTTCAACTTGAAAGCAATCCCTTCCCCCCCCCCCCTTTGGTGAAAGTCGGCAACGAGCGAGTTGAGTCGGCTGAGTGGCGATGCATTCTTGCACTTTTTGTCTCTCCGTCTCTCTATCGCTCTCCTTCTCCCTCCCTCTCCTCCTCGGATGCGCCGTGGTGCAACAAGCTCATCAAATTCAAGTAGAAGCAGTTGATGATTGGGCGGAAGGCACAGCAGGACCCTGCGACCGACCGTGACAAGCCGGGGAATGTGAACAAAAGAACAAAAACAAACGCAAACTTGTGATCTACAAACCCAATCGACAGACGTTCGAGCGGATGCCTTGGTCGCTTTTCCGCCGCTCGAGTAAAGGCTCGCATTGTCAACGAATAGCAGTGGAAGAGGTCAAGAAGGGGCGGGCGAGGATGGGTTGGATGGGTAGCACATGCGGAGGAGGCCGATCCATCCATCCTGCCACACACATACACACACACGCACACGCATAGCCGGCTCTCTCAGCCCTGTGACGCTGTTGGGGAGCGTTGTCAAAGTGCTGCAAAGCTCACTCTGAACTGCAATTTTCGATTCAAACCGCTACCATCCTCAACAGATGGCATCCAAAGGGTTTGGCCTCGGTCTGCTGCTTTGGCTGCTCTGCGTGATGTATCACGTCCAGCTGGCACAAGCAGTCAATGCATGTGGAACTGGCGGCGTGTGCACCTGCTCGGGAACTAATGTCAATTGCGAAGGCAAATCTCTCACGACCATTCCGAGTGCAATTCCGGTCACGACGACTTTCCTGTAGGTGTTGCCGTTGAGCGGATATTTGCCCTCCTGCTCTCCTGATTTGTTTGTTTGGCATACGGTCGACAGGGAGTTGCAGACCAACAACATCACCAGCATTTCTGCAAGCGCATTCACAGGCCTGACTGCGCTGACTTACCTGTAAGCAAGCCGCGACATCGCGGGCAAGAAGAAATGCTCGGTACAAACGGCTCACTCGGCTGTGACTCTATCTCTAGGCGGCTGAATGAAAACCAGCTCGCAAGCGTTCCCGCAAACTCATTCACAGGCCTGACTGCGCTGAATTACCTGTACGCAAGCAAGGGCATGAGACTCAAGCTTGACTAGCTCACTCATTTGTGACCTCCATCTCTGGCTAGACGGCTGAATGACAACCAACTCACCAGCATTTCCGCAAACGCATTCGCAGGCCTGACTGCGCTGACAGTAATGTAAGCAAGCACTGGCAAGATGAATCACAGACTGACGGCTCACTTGTTTGTAACTCTATGTGCAGGGGTCTAAACCGCAACCAGATCACCAGCATTTCTGCCGAAGCATTGGCAGGCGTGGCTGCGCTGAAGCGCCTGTAAGCAAGCATGGTCCTGGCAATCAAACAAAACGGCTGACTCGTTTCGGGACCATTTGTAGTGATCTGTCCTTCAACGAGATCACCTTCATTTCTGCAACCGCATTCGTAGGCCTGACTGCGCTGACAGGACTGTAAGCAAGCAATGGCCGGACGAAGCATCGACTGACAGCTCACTCGTTGGCGACTCTATATCTGTGTAGGGCTCTACACAACAACCAGATCACCAGCATTTCCACAAACGCATGGGCGGGTCTAGAGCTGGAGTACCTGTAAGCCACCACTCTAAATTCGCGTGTTCGTTCGATTCGTTACTTACTTTCCAGTGCTCCAAGGATCTTAAGCGACAACCCTTTAACTACCTTGCCGCCCGGGCTGTTTATGGGCTTGCCAAATGGCTTGTACTTGTCCGTTAATTCTACAACGAACATACTTAAGTATCCGCTGCGCCCCAGCAATTTTACCTTTGGTGGGAACACTGTCGCTCCGCCCAGCACCTACGGCAATGCATCCGTACCGTACAGTAAGATCCGAGATGATTGCAATTCCAACCCCCCCCCCCGCTTAGTGTGATCCTTTCACTGACCTTTGGACGGCAGTGTGCGACACAACCTGCGCCACTTGCTATGCTTCAGGGCCCGCTGCGTGTTGCGCACGCAATTGTCTGGTCTGCAATTCATCCACTGTGTGCACTCAGTGCTACGAAGGCTATGGTATGTTGAGCGGATCCTGTATTCCGCTCGCTTCCGTTGCCTCCGTCGCGTCCACGCAATCTGCATCTGCTGCGTCTCGTGTTTCCGCGACCTCGGCGCTCTCGGCTTCTGCTGCCTCGATTGCCTCGACCAGATCCGCATCGATTGCGTCCGTCGCCTCAATCGCGTCCGCGTCGGCTGCTTCAACTGCCTCTGCTTCAGTTGCGTCCCTTGTTTCTGCGACCTCCGCGCTCGCTGCCTCGGTTGCCTCGACCAGATCTGCATCTATTGCGTCCGTTGCTTCAATCGCGTCCACGAACTCAGCCTCGGCTGCTTCAACTGCCTCAGCCTCGGTTGCGTCTCTTGCTTCTGCCATCTCTGCGATCTCTGCTTCTGCTGGATCGGTTGCCTCGACCAGATCTGCATCGATTGCGTCCGTCGCCTCAATCGCGTCCGCGTCGGCTGCTTCAACTGCCTCTGCTTCAGTTGCGTCCCTTGTTTCTGCGACCTCCGCGCTCGCTGCCTCGGTTGCCTCGACCAGATCTGCATCTATTGCGTCCGTCGCCTCAATCGCGTCCACGAACTCAGCCTCGGCTGCTTCAACTGCCTCAGCCTCGGTTGCGTCTCTTGCTTCTGCCATCTCTGCGCTCTCTGCTTCTGCTGGATCGGTTGCCTCGACCAGATCTGCATCGATTGCGTCCGTCGCTTCAAGCGCGTCTGCGAAATCAGCCTCGGCCGCTTCAACGC